AGGATTATGCACTAAAACAGCACATGTTGTTGTTTGAAAGGAAACTGTACTTAAATATTTGCAATGTGCTAATTGATATTTTTCATCTGATTGCAATATAATATAATTTTGAAGACTTTGACCTGCTTGCATAGGTGCACATGCAAATATGTAATTAATGTCTAAAAATGTTTTACTCTAATGGCTAAATTAGCAGATGGATTGCCTTAAAAACAACAATTTTGAGACATGTGGGTGAGAAAGTTTAGGTTGTATTATATGTATAATAGCAGATGTAATATCAAGTTAAAGTAAAGCAAGTAAACGTAGCAAAAAGGTAAAAATAGCAGTAAAAGTAGTAAAAAGGTTAAAGGTCCCATATTACGCAAAACTTACTCTTCTGAGCTTTAATGCATGTTGTAATGTTGTTATCTCCTCAAAAACAGACCTGGAGGTGTGTTTTGTCTCATCCACACATGTTTGAGTAACATTTTATTAAGTCTGTCTACATCTCCAAAGCTCAAAATGCTCAGCTCCACCTTGTGATGGCATGAAGCGGTAGTTTTTACGGTAGCAACTCCTTTTACCTTTTGTTCAGTAGAGATTGGCAAGTCCAGGGCTGAGGATCAAAATAATTCCAGTAAAGGTAGGGGCGTAACGACATCCAAGTCTCAGAATACGATATCGTCACGGTATGAACCTCACGGTACGATATTTATTGCAATATTTTGGGAAAGCTCACTATATGGTGGGGAGGCTCACGAGATTAGGAGCCTTAGGGATGTAACGATATCCAAATCTCTCAGTACGATATTTTCACAATATACATCTCACAGTACGATATTTATCCTCTTAAAATGACTTGGAAAGACTTAATCCAAAAAACTAAGACTTAAATGTTAATTCTTCATGTAGTCTACACTGAAATGGAGCAAAGGATCATGGTTCCCTCTGTCTTTTTTAGCTATTGCTGCACCATAACCATAATGGATATATTGTGATTTCACAATATTATTGTGAGAACTTTGAAGATACGATATCACCATATTTCAGTTATTATTACATCCCCAAGTGAAGGTGTATAGAGCTTAAAAACACAGTGGAGCATGGGTGTGAATGAACCAAAACACAACTCCAGGTATGTTTGTGATGAGGAAACAACATTATAACTTAGCGTAAAAATATAAAATAGCGTAATTTAATACTCTGTGGTTAAAATAATAGGCTATAGGTTGAGGTAACAACGGTCTTTGCAATATTACTCAAGAAATAATGTTGTAATTTGTAACGTGAATCAAAATTTTGAGTTTTCTTCCACCTCGGCTAATTACATTTTACATTGATGAAATTTCCGACACTGTGAATCTGCGCTGCCACACGCTCCCAGGATGCCTCACATCAGACCCCCGACACAATAGCTCTCATTGTTCCTTTGTGTGGCGGTAATGATCGTAGCTGTTTGATCAAAAAGACATTTACTTATCACTCCCTGCGTGCGTGGGCTTTGATATGGAGCTTTCTGGTAACCGCGGTGATCTCTTGGCTACGGCGGGACCAGTCACAGTGCGCTCTCCCACTGGACACAGCGCAAGTGTCACGGAGCCTGTGCCAATCCACGCCCACCCCATCCATCTGCATACAGCCCATTTTGTACCCCATACTGCCTGCTTTTCCATTCTTCCTCTCTGGGCTCCATCTGTCAGGCTTGCCAGTACAATAACGCCACAGTGAAAGTAATCTAGACACTCTCGGCTCTTTGGATTTCTCATTACAATATGGCTGGCATGTTGGAGGTTGAGGGGGGAGAAGGGATTTTGAATAGACAGGTAACAATGGCTAACTCGGAGTGACTGAGAGAGCTGGTTCTTCTGTCCAGGGGCTCGGCTAATTTACTTTTCATTCAATACAGCCTGGCTAGCGTTCGGTCCCTTTAGATGAAGAAATATCTATAGAACGAGAACACGCTTTGAATTTGTTACGATTTCACTTTTGTTTAAACCAGAACTCGGAGGAATTGTCTAGTTTGCATTTTGTTCATCGTATGACAGTTAAAGGTGCAGTGTGTGATTTTTTTTTTTTCTGGCGGAGCGTTTTTCAAAATAAAACCAAAGATAAGAAAATGAAAAAACAACAGTTTTCTTCATGATTTGTCTCCAAAACCAAAATGAAAAAAAAAAAAAAAAGATACTTAATTTTTTCAGTTTTCGATTTTGTGTTTAAATGAATAATGGAAAAAACGGACAACGGTCGTTTCCCGTTTCCGACACTCCTGGTTCAGTCCTGGTTCAGTCCTGGTTCAGTCCTGGTTCAGTCCTGGTTTAGTCCTGAGATCGGGACTGGACCAGGACCAGGACTGAGACTGGGACTGAGACCGGGACTGAGACTGGGACCAGACCAGGACCACCACACCAGGACTGAGACCGGGACCAGGATTAGGACCAGACCAGGACTGAGACGGGACCAGGATCAGGAGTTAGACCAGGACCAGACGGGGACTGAGATCAGGACTGCAATCGGTTTAGACCTGGTTTAGGTTTAGTCCTGGTTCAGTTCTGGTTCAGTCCTGTTCATTCCAGCATCGCAGTTTTAAGTCACCAAAACGGGAAACTGTTGTTATCCGTTTTTTCCATTATTCATTTAAACAGTGAAAAACTGAAAAAACTAATCATTATCCCTTTTTTCATTTTGGTTTTGGAGACAAATAATGAAGAAAATAGTCGTGTTTTTTTTTAGTTTTCTTATTTTTGATTTTATTTTGAAAAACGAATGAATGATACACGGATTCTTTGTTTTTGTCTGCTTTAACCCTTTCTAACTTCATAGAAACCAAACCAAGCCAAGTTACAGGTCAGATCTGTGGAGAGGAGAAAGGCATTCATAGTCAGAATGCCTGTTTTTTTGAGCTATAAAACCACCTGTAATTAAATAAATGTAAGATATAATATATATAATAATATTCCAGGCAGAGCAATGACATATCCATAGAAACAAGAAGGTGACGGAGCCCTAACCAAAAAGTTACATAGTGCACCTTCAAAGAAACTTGATATAATGGTTTTAAGGCTTTTTGTGAGTGAAATAATTCTCTCATTTGTCCAGCAGCACATTCCTTTGTAATGTAAAAATGTAAGTCTCATTTGAGTTTACTTTAAGGTCATGGTGATCTGAACAAGAGCATTTTTAAAGTCGCGTTGAATGAAAATACTTTTATTCACTTTAAGAAAACTATTAGAGGATATTAGGTATGAAGTTCACATATTGTACAAGGGAACCATTGTGGAGACGTCTGTTAAGGCCATTCAAGTTCAGTGGATATTAAATTAATGTCAGGTTTTAAAGGTCCTATCAGAGGTGGGAGCAAGTCGTTGTTTTGCAAGTCTCAAGTAAGTCTTTGACCTCAAGTCCGAGTCAAGTTCCAAGTCAAATACAGGCAAGTCCAAGTCGAATCTCGAGTCACTGGCCCATAAGTCCAAGTCAAGTCCAAGTCGTCTGCTTTGAGCTTCAAGTCATTTTAAGTCTTTAAACCAAAGTACTAAATATACCTTAGACTTCTGCAATTTACATGACTTTTAAGATAAGTTGCACTTAAAAAAATCATAGTATATTTGTATATGAGTATTGGTAGACTATAGAAGAGTTGCAGAATTAAATTTGTTTTTTACTTTTTAAATGTCTTGACAAGAGCTTAGTGTGAATCATTACAGTCAGAATAGAAAGAATTGAGATTTAAAAGTGCTTCTCGAGTCCCAAGTCACTGTCCTTCAAGTCCAAGTCGAGCCCCAAGTCTTAGTCCATTTTATCAAGTCAGGTCTCAAGACCTAAAAATAGTGACTCAAGTCTGACTCGAGTCCAAGTCACGACTTACAAGTCCCCACCTCTGGGTCCTATATTATACAGAATTGATTCTTGTGAGTTTTAAGCCATGTTATAATGTTGTTACCTCATCAAAAACATACCTGGAGTTATGTTTTGTTTCATTCACACATGTAACCCTGGGTTTATAAGACTGTCTACAAAGCTCAAAACCATCTGTTCCACCTTGTGATGTCATGAGGTGGAAGTTAACAGCTATCTTGATCTTTTGTCTTTAGGGCTGAAATTATCCAAATGATTCTGGTGAAGGTCTATGGATTTTAAAAACACAATGGAGCACTTCCTGTATTACTGCATGACATCACAAGATGGAATAGAGTGTTGTCTGTTTGAGAGAAGAACTCAGTCTAAATATGCAGGATTTCTGTGTTAAAGATGTGTGAATGAAACAACACATAACTCCAGGTATGTTTTTAATGAGGAAACATTATAACGGCGGTCAAAATATAGTGTAATATTGGCCCTTTTAAAGTGGACAGCGAGGGTTGAAAATGCATGATTTTAAACTCATTATGCAAGATTACATTTACATTGAATGAATGGAAAATTACATGAGCCTATTTGCATTATGAATAAAATCATTTGCTAAATTGCCACTCACTGTTTTTGCTACATTTATTTCCACAAAGTAGTTCAATGGCTGAGTCAGTCATCAGGAGTAATCAAGGCGTCTCACCTGACAGCTCAGACAAAGCTTTGGTTTCAAATCCAAGCTGGTTTTTGCTAGTTATGTGTATATATTATTCTTGCAGTGTGCTCGCCGTATGCTCTGAGTAGATGCATTTTCGCACTTGACAGCACATGCAAAGCTCTCAAAAAATCAATACTCGAGCACGAAAGGAACAGCCACAAAAATGATCTGCATGTTGTAACCCACAATACAATGCATGTGAAATGGATTTTCAGCGGGGGGTGAGAAGTTGACAGGATTGGCGGTAATTGCTCTAGGCACCTGTTTTGCACCAGTGTTTGTTCTTTTGTCAAAACTGTGGGCATACGTAGGCATTATGGAAGCAGTCCTATAGCAGCGCTGCACATTATAATTCACTGCACATTACAACAACAAAAACAGGACCGTTTTTGTATGAGTGTGTTGCTTTGGGATGAGGCTGACACTGAGTGGTTGTGACTTTGCCTCTTGCCTGTAGGGGGAGCTCCTGAGCCCGTGCCGCTGCAGTGGGTCAGTCCGCTGCACTCATCAGCCCTGCCTCATCAAATGGATCAGTGAGAGAGGATCGTGGGCGTGCGAGCTGTGCTACTACAAGTATCAGGTCATCGCCATCAGCACCAAGAACCCACTGCAGGTGAGGATACATCTACAGATGCATTGTCAGAACAGAGTCTGAGTGGGGGATGTGAGTCATGGTGCAATTGGACATTTTTTACTTAAAAGCAAACAAGAACTCTCTTTGTCTGCAATTTTACTGTTTTACTGTCATCTTCTTCACAGTGTAAATCTAAAACAAAGACTGACCCACCAACCTTTCTGCTTTACATTATTAACAACCAGAGGTAGGAACTTGCAAGTCGTGACTTGGACTCGAGTCAGGTTTGAGTCACTATTTTTAGGACTTGAGACTTGACTTGATAAAATGGACTAAGACTTGGGACTGGATTTGGACTTGAAGGTCACTGACTTGGGACTTGACTCGGATTTTAGGCCTGTGACTTGAGTAGACTTGAGAAGCACTTTTAAATGTCAATTCTTTCTATTCTGAATGTAATGATTCACGCTAAGATCTTGTCAAGACATAAAAAAAAATTAAATACATTTCTACAACTCTTATATAAATACTCATATAAAAATATACCATGATTTTTTAAGTACAATTTATCTTAAAAGTCATATAAATTGCAAAAATCTAAACTATATTTGGTAGTTTGGTTTAATGACTTGAAATGACTTGAAGCTCAAAGCAGACGACTTGGACTTAACTTGGACTTGCCTGTATTTGACATGGGACTTGACTTGGAATTGAGGTCAAAGACTTGAGACTCACTTGAGACTTGCAAAACAACGACCTGGTCCTACCTCTGTTAACAACAAACATAAATCTGACCCATTATTTCTAAAATGTTCCAGTATCAAATATGTTGCTTAAAGGTGCACGGCTCATCTTTTCTGGTGGAGGGTCTACTATTGTTTTCCCAGGAATGTCCCATGGTATGACTTTAAACATTTCCATCTAGCATTTATTAATTACATGTGTTTCTATCTCTAAAAAATACAATAATTCCTTCTGTGAATAGGGACGACTCTCCAAAGATCTGAATTGTAATGTACTGTAGTGCTGTAACCTGCTTGTCTCCTGTGTTTAATATTTACTGTGGAACATTCTAGACAAAGCAATATCATTTCCATGGAGATGTCAGGTGGAATTATTCCTATTATTATTATCATTCCTATGTTAAATCGCAAGTCTCCTCAAACACAACTTTCACACACTTCCCCTTTGATGATGAAAAAAATAAATAAATCCATTGGCCCTGTTATTTTAGACACACATAAAATAATTTTAAACGTTAGATTCTTATGTCAGAATACAAATTAACTGAAGCTAAACTCCTCCCTCCTCCCCGATGCAGTTGTGTGAATGAACTTCTGATTGTGACCTCAATAACAAGCTCACTCTTCTATGTGGAAATATGTTGAAGTTCAAAAATTCAATTATCAGCCTGACTAACTTTGAATGTAAATAATTAAAGGGCACTTTTCAAATAAAGATTAGTACCATTCATTGCGACATATACATCAATTAAATAGGCTCTCATAGCATATGGCAGCAAACCCTAATGGCTAAAATACTACATTAAAATTCACAGCATGTGGTCTGGTTCAGAAAAGAAAGAATAGTAAACGATTCTCATTTATTTTATTGTCTTGTTTTTTCATTCAGTGGCAAGCCATTTCCCTGACAGTCATAGAGAAGGTGCAGATCGCAGCGGCCATCTTGGGTTCCTTGTTCCTCATGGCCAGTATCTCGTGGCTGGTGTGGTCATCGTTCAGTCCGTCGGCGCGATGGCAACGGCAAGACCTGCTGTTCCAGATCTGCTACGGCATGTACGGCTTCATGGACGTCGTCTGCATCGGTAAGAGTGGAGTTTTCACCTATTCACTGTGAGAAAGAATTTAAACCAAGAGTACAATGTGTTTTGAAGTCTTTATCACTTGGTACTTGTGAGTGAGAGTCTCCAGCGACTAGGTCAGGAATCAGAATACACTACTAGACGGTTTGCAAGAACCCCGGAAGTTGTAGACCGCGTGCCGGCCAATCAGCCAAGAGCTGTGAAGCCATGACGTCAAACTCAAGAGTCTGTCTGGGTCCCTTTTGTGGTACAGCACAACAGTAAACAAAGCGGTCGAGATGGACGTAGACAAAGCCATACATTCTGTGTTGTCAATGACTTCCGAGATCGAGGATTTAAAGGTGGAACAAAGAGAATGTTTGGTGAATTTTATCAAGGGGAAAGACGTTATTGCCCTTCTTCCTATGGGATTTGGGAAAAGCTTAATATATCAGTTAACCCCGTTAGCGGCACATTACATACATCACAACAAAAGCAGCGACTGGTTAAAAGATAGAAAAACTACCCGCCTACTGTCGAGCAAAAAAAATACTAGTTAACTGTATCTCTATTGGTGGAATGTTCAGGTACCATGGTGATACAATACACATATAAATGCAAAAACTGACAAAATGTTTAATATATAGTCTGAAAACTCAAAAAAATATATAAAATGGTTTTAAGCAACACATTTTCAAGAGCCTGTGATCAATACAAGTGTCCATGGTCCTGTTTAGGAGTTTGATTTTCAACAAAATGGCTGAAATGGTTGAATGGTAGGTAGGCTATAACAAATTTTATGACTGTTAAAAAGCCCATATTACTCTATTTTCTGATCTATGGTATAATGTTGTATCCTCATCAAAAACATACCCAGAGTTGTGTTTTATTTCATTCACACATATTTAACACACAAACCCTGCAAATTTATTTATTCTCTCAAACAGAAAACAGTGAAAGTGCTCCACTGTGTTTTTCAACATAATTTGGATGATTTAAGCCCTGGAATTGCTCTTTTTAGCAGAAGTGGATCCAATATATTGCTATTTTGAGACCTGACTTTGCGTGAATGTAAGGATGTCAGGAGAGCAGACATGGTTTTAAAAATTTTCACTTGCCCTTTTTTTTTTCTTTCTGTTTTTATGTGTGTATTTGTTGACTCTTGTTATGCCGGACATACACCGACATACTACATGAAACACGTCACACAATTAAGCCAAGAGTCAGCCAGATCCCAAAAACAGTCACATGAGTGAAAAATCGTGTACACCCGGCTTTATATATTAAAAAAAAAAAAAAAAAAAAAGAAAGAAAGAAATTAAACACAATTTGGAGCATATGCATATTGTACTAATTATATGACTTGTCTGGATGACAAGCATGTCATCATGTTTTATTTTTCTTGACAAATTGTGCTCCCAATATAAATGACTTGTGAATGAACTAAAGATAAAACATGAAAATTGCTGCTTCATCACATCACAAGTTGGAACAGAGCATTTTGAGCTATGGAGATGCAGACAGACTAATAATAAAGGGTTACTCAGACATGTGTGAATGCAACAAAAACCACAAATTCAAGTATGTTTTTGAGAAGGTAACAACATTTTAACAAAGCTCACAAGAGTAAATATTGTGTAACATAGGACCTTTAAAACCATTCCGGTAAATACTGAACTGAAAGCTCAAATGCAGCAGTTATAAAATCTCTATGTAGTCTGTTTCCTTTAAAAACTACATTGCTCAGTTGAACTCTGCACACCCCATTGACTTGAGAAAAACAATAAGGGATGAGTGGAGTGTTTTGTGGCCTCCTTCGGTGTGTGTGGGCTCTGAGCTTTGAGCAGCAGTCCTCTTCTGGAGCCGGGGCCCTGCAGACTTTTGGTGAAGGCGTCTCACATTAGGAAACCACTGACTGTTACAGCGGTAGACAGAAGAGTGAGCGTGCCCAGTGCAGTTGTTCAGGTTGGCCGTGGAGTCTTTACACAGATTAACTTGTCACCTCGCAGACATTTAAGAGCAAAGGGCGGACTTCCACTTATCTGAAAACAAGGTTGGAGAGGGGCACTGAAGTGAAGACAGTGGCTTTTGCTGCCAATAGGAAAAGATGAGTCATTTCATTCAGTGTTGGTGCAGATTCATTTATCAGCTAATACCATCACGGGTAATGAATAACACATACTCACATATTCATATACTGCTTCATTATTACCTGTTAGTGAGGGTACATTTTGAATTTGCATTTTGTTGTTATTAAAAAAAAATTAAAAATCAGTTATTAAGTTTAATATCTCTATAACAATGTAAGTACGCCAGCTAGTTCACAGTGTCACTTTTATTAAAATCGTAAAATATAAAATAAACAATCTATTAAAATTCTAATTACTTAAAAAAGGCTGCCAGATAATTTTTAGATGTAGAATACTTCAGTTTGTGGCATTGTTGTTTTAGAATTTAATATGCCTCAAATTTGCATTAGCGTTAGCATTAGCGTTAGCATTAGTACTGAGACACAAACAGCTCGTTAGCATTAGCATTAGCATTAAGACAAAAAACATCTCTTTCTACACGCAGAAGTGTCCTCCTCTGAAGTATTCATTCATTCATGTTGTCGGTTAAATCCACCCGTAACTCACTGTCCAATATCTTATCTTTATCTTTAAATATTTAGGAATTTTAGCACAACTTAGCAAAAAACCTATAGCTACACAATTGGACAGGAAGTAGTGATCCTAACACTGTGGTTTCCAGGCGCTATAGGCGAGTTTCATTGTTGACAAAAGCGCGCGTTTGCATGCTGGGAATTATTTTGGTCGGCGGCAAGAAACACTAACTCAACATGACGGACCGAGTGAGAAAGCACGTAAAGGGTATTGATACCGGTTATTTATCCACTCTAACGGCAGAGGACCAAAGACGATTATTCACTTCAGCGACATCCACAATGACTTGGTGGAAACTCCTGGGCCATTCACAGCAGAAAAGATGAAAGCCTCCAAGAGTCTCGATGCGTTGTTGAACTTGTTGGAGTTCATGGTTTGCTAGGATCATCTACGTTTGCTCTGCGGATGTTTGAAAGCCATTTAATTTGCCATTAGTGGTTCTTTTCACTCAGAATATGAAAAAGACATTCCTTCTTTCGTGCTTCTATTTGTGCATCCGATAATGCAGCAGGAATTTACCATTATCGGGGATAAATACGCGAGGTTATGCACTGTGTTTGACCGCTATCGTGTTTCTTGCCTCCGACCAAAATATTTCCCAGCATGCAACGCGGGCTTTTAATAACAAGGACGTCAGCTGAAACTCGCCTGTAGACCTTTTTCAGAATGGCTGGACGTGCCGCGCTGCAGGTTAGCAGGACTTCTCGTTAATAGTTTTTGACAAAATACCTGTGGAAATGTCTCACATATTTTCCACCAGCTTCATAAATCTTAATCTGTCTATGAAGAATTTATCCACAGCTATCAGGGTAAGAAAGATGAAAACTTTAAGGCAAACGACTAGCATTAGTGAATTACTCCTCAGCAAAACTAACATTATGGTCATGAATAAAACATAAGTAATAAGTAATTCATTAATAAGTAACTTGTTAACGCAGACTGATTCTACAATTAAAATAAAAAATCGATTTCATGATGTAGATATTTGCATACATAGAGATTTGTGCAGTTGGAATGCTACAGATTACATGTCTACCATTTAAACTGCACAAATCTCTCTGTCTATGCAAATATCTACATCATGAAATCAATTTTTTATTTTAATTGTAGAATCAGTCTGAGTTAACAAGTTACTTATGTTTTAATCATGGCCATAATGTTAGTTTTGCTCAGGAGTAGTTCACTAATGCTCGTCGTTGTTCGCCTTTATGTTTTCGTCTTTCTTACCTTGATAGTTGTGGATAAATACTTCATGGACAGAATATGTCCTTTGTCAACCTTGTTGGCTGAAGATTTGGTGATGGGGCAAATTTATGAAGCTGGTGGAGAATACGTGAGACATTTCCACAGATATTTTGCCATAGAAAAGCATTAACATAAGTGACGTTTACCGTATATTGCAGCACTTCCAGCCGTTGTGAAAAAGGTCTATTGTGCACACAGACTATTGCAATAATATTTTTCACACATAGGCCACAATCAGGCCAGACCAAACGTTGAGACCAAAATCCAACAATCTTACACCACATAACCACTCATGCCACATCACACACCACGCCACATCATCCGCTTTTGTATTGTAGCATTTAGTGTGTTTTTATTCACCTTTTTTATGTTTTTAACTTGTTGTGTACAGTGTCCTTGAGTGTTTTGAAAAGCACTTTAAGCATTATAAACAAAGGTAATTGTGAATTTAAATTCTGAATTTAAAGGTGCACTGTGCAACGTTTCTGGGGGAGGGTTCGTCAAATGCTTTTCTCCTTCAAATGTTTTTGCTGTTTCTAGAATGATATCAAACCTTTCTATCTTCATGGAAACCAAACCAGACCAAGTTACAGGTCAGATCTATGAAGAGGTGACCCCACTCACTGTTGCACAATGCACCTTTAATATTTGAAGTCATAAAACAATAAAAAATAAATAAAAATAAAAATCAGAACAATATCATAATAACCATATTTTTGTGATATAGTCCTATAAGAATTTGAGCGTAATCTGTCCAGACTCTTAGTACTAGTATTAAAGGAGGTCTTGCTAATAATGTGTCTGGGAGCGTATATTCATGCAGAAAACCATGGGCCATAGAAACACAGTGAGTTTATTGAGTGTGACTTAACCTTTGCATACTTGAACAGGCTGCATATTGAGGATATAGAGGTGGAACTGAGCTTAATATTTTTGAAAAGGTCAGCCTGGACTGTCACAACGCCGGCTTGATTCCTGACCCCTCTGGTGCACCTGATCCGTGACCATTTTATCGTATGCCAGAGAATACAGCCTTGATGCTTTATATGGCTATGAGGAATCCTTGTATCCAGATATTTTCTGACTCGACTATATGTAGGCTTGATATATTGTAAGTAAATATGTATACTAAATGATGATATTGAAATTGGTTTATGTACTGACACAAAAGAGTAGATTTAAACCACTAAAACTATTCTAAATGTGGAACACTGTTAAAAAAAAACATCAGTTGCAATAAATAAATAGCAGAATGAAACACTTTAGTACTAAGTTTGCATCTGTAATGAATCATAGAAGTTATTAATTCAACCTTTTATGTCTCAAATAGCCAAACATAACATAAAATTCTCCAGTTATTGCAAAGATACTGTAGAAATGATAAATAATGACCTCAGAAAGACTCCAGCTTTCATATACTAGTACTGAAGGATAAGTCAATATAATATTTATCATGACAGGTCTAACTATGAAATGTTACATTTTCACATTTCTTATGCTGTAATACTGTTACAAACACACATTCTAATAGTTCCTTGAATATGTCTAATAAATATTTTTGTTCTCAAAGTTCATTGCACACAGATCAATATGTAATTTTAAACTGTGATAAGATCCTATTGAATATCTCGAGGAGGCTAATTAAGTCTCCTTCTTGACCCCGATTTATGGCTGATATGACTGATGTGCTGGTGACATGGATTTCATTTGGGCGAATCAGCCTCTGTAATTACCCCTCTGCTTTGTCATTATTTTTGGTGATAACAATAGATTATTTGTCAGAATATTTTTAAACCAGTATGCTTTTTAAACAGTGAAGGACATGATGAAATTCTTGACACCAGTGTCATACCGACTCTCTTTGAAATGGTGTCTCTGGTTTAAAAGACTGCAGACATATATACTGGATTCTCATTTCAAGGTTAGATTTTCTCTCACTCCTCACAATTACCTATAGGCTCAGGCGTTATACAGATCATACAATTAGATATGAGTCAGGCTTTTATAGCAGATCCTACAGCAGCATGGTTGGGCTGCATTTTTTTATTCTTTTAGTGATACTAAACAAGGTTAGGTCTGAAAACATTCAGAGAATTGGTCTCAAACAGTCAGTGACTGTATACCAGCAGAAAGTAAACAGGAAATACTGATTGACTTCCTGTTATGACTCCTTTACTAACTGTTCCTCTCCTCTACAGCTCTGATAGTCCACGAGGGTCCTTCAGTTTTCCGTATCTTCCACCGGTGGCAGGCTGTGAACCAGCAGTGGAAGGTGCTGAACTATGACAAGTCTCTAGACAGTGAGGAGCTGAAGGAGGTGACAGTGGACAGGACTCAGCCCAGACAGGCTGGTTTTCAGACTGGGGTGGGCGTGTCCCACTCCACCTCCTCGCTTATGGTGGTGGCCTCCACAGCTGCTGGTTCCACCTCCACCACAGTGGTCACAGCTGGGACAGGACTGGACCCACACAGTGACACCACCAATGGCAGTGTGGTCCCAGAGCACTGTCCTTACAGCATCCTCCATCTCCTGAGCCATCTGCGACAGACAGAGCCCCGGAGCAGCCCGCCCAGCCACAACACACGGGAGCTGGTCATGAGGGTGACCACCGTGTGAGGGGCCCAGGCTCAGACACTTACAGACCACACGCTCCTGAGGACTGCTTTGGATCAGTACATGTCTTGTTTGTTCACATTGCATCTCTGATGTCCTTACATGGATTGAATAAAAGTTAAAGTTGTTTGATTTGCAGATGTGATCGGAATGGGTTTTGTTTGGGGATTAACAAAAACAGAAATTTTGGTTTGAAATGTGGCTGGAGATTTATCAAAATTAAATTGAAATCACACTTAGAATGTTCACAGTTAGCAAAAAGCAAAAGTTACTATTTATGTGAGAAATAATTTGCTCTGCAGATAACTAAACATCCAATCTCCATGGGGTCTCAACATTTATCATTTTTGTGAAATCCTGGTCATTCTTGTATTGATTTGACAGTTAAATTTTATTTCAATTTTCTCAGAGATGTTAATCGTCCAAGATAATTGAAAAAAGTGCTCTGTGAATTTAATCATTCTTATTTTCCATCAAATTGCAAATCTTTCTAAATTGTTTTTAAAATGTTCTGGTTTGAAAAAAGATCTGTTAACATTTCCTCTCAGTATTGGCATTGTTTTCATGTACAATATTCTTCTTATTATCAACAGGATTATAAGTTTTAACATATATTTATTTACAATTATTGGCCTGAATTTCACCAATGCCACAGTCAAACTGAGATTTAAGGGGAGGAGATGTAGATTTTTTTTATTTAAAATTTCACAAACATGATCTATCTGTGTCCCCTCATAGAAAGTAAACAGGTTCAAATATTGGTCTTATTGATAACATTTAAATTTGTAATGTCAATGTATTCTTAATTAGAAAAAGATTGCACAAGTTGTTATGATATGTTATAATTTGGTGTGTTTGTTTTCAACACAATTATCCAGTCGGAAAGAAGAATGAGTCTCACATTTGGGCTGACAGTTCCCACAACTGAAATCAGAAAATCAGTTGAAAATAAATCTAAAAGCACTCTCTTTGCTCTGAATACTCACCAACAAAACCAGTAAGATCAGAGGGCACACACCTCCCTCCCCTCCAGTTAATTGTACGCATTAAGAGGGGGGGAAAAAAAATCTTTCATTAATTGACTGGCAGTGTTTTCCACCCCCAAAAGTCCTGTTTCCTCTTTGGTGTGAGAGTCTGCCCATTAGCCCCTGGTCCATGTTCATCTTTAACTCACAAAGCCAACCATCTCTCCTCTCCTCTCTCCCTTCCTCCCAGTTCCTCTCATTTATGCACTTTGAGATGCCTCTGCAGCTCTTGCTTCTTGAAAGATCTGTTTTATCCCAAAGGGTATTCAAGCTCAGATGTTGTTGGAGGAGGAAGAAAAGAAGATTTTGGTGGAGACTCATTTATGTGAAGCCCTTTTTATCAGTTCCATGTTGTGCAGGGATGTAGCATTAAGTCAGACTCCACATTTGGATGCACTTGCTTAAAATCATTCCAAAATCCAATTATCTAATATTATGTGTTACAAGCGTAAGTCAGTCTCGATCCCAGTGTGAAAACAAGTGGATGCCTTTGAGCTTCTTCCCTTAACATCAAAATACATCAACTATAAATGATGTTCATGCTGATTTTAAAGCAATAGCCCCGCAAAGCAACATGATAGCAGTTCTTGTTCTTGTTGTTTTAATGGGAAGAAATGCAGTGGTTCATAATGGTCTTTTCTTGATTTTGCAACGCTTTTTGTTATATTAAAGGTTTTATATTTATATTAGACAAATTGAGCTTTAAGCCATGTTATAATGTTGACGCCTAATCAGAAACATAGCCAGAGTTGTTTTTTGTTTCATTCACACATGTTTGATTAATCCAATTTTATTAGTCTGTCTACATCTCCAAAGCTCAAAATGCCCTGTTTTACCTTGTGATGTCATGTAGTGGTTAGGGGTGTAACGATATTCAGGTCTCACAATACGATATCGTCACAGTACGAACCTCACAGAATGATATTTATTGCGATATCACTCACGATATGGTGGGGAGGCTCATGATTAGGGATGTAACAATGTCCATTTATTGCAATATGTTGTGGAGGCTAACAAAACTGTTAATATGCTACTTTTCTGTCTTAAAATGCCTTGACAAGACTTAATCCAAAGAACTAAGACTTAAAAGTGCTTAGAACTGTTATTTCTTCATGTAGTCTACACTGAAATGGAGCAAAGAATCATGGTCTCTGTCAGGGGTGGGCAAACTTTTTGACTCACGGGCCACAGAGGGTTTTAAAATATGACGGAAGGGCCGGACCAGGTGCAGATGGATTGAGTTTTTTGGTAATCCACCTTATGAGAGAAAAAAATAGCATGGGATGTGTAGAAAATATATCCCATGTTATGGAAATATCCCACTGAAAATCATTACAAATCATTATAACAAAATATCTGTCTTTCGAGTCCCACGGTATTCACTATTTATTGAAATGACTTTTAAAACACTGAAAATTATTATTATTAAAGTTTGGAGTGCTGTAGTTTGCCCACCCCTGATCTATGTAGTCTTTTTTTAGCTATTTTTGCACCGTAACTCTTAATTTAAGCAAAAACACTTGTAATTCGATATATTGTGATGGTCCACGATATTATTGTGAGAACTTTGACGATACCATATCTCAATATTTTGGTTATTGTTACACCCTTAATGATAATAATAATGACACATTGGACTTAGATAGCGCTTTTTTTTGGATACTCGAAGACGCTTTACAAACAAATAAGAAGTGACACTGTAGAAAAGGGGAATGCCAGCTTGAACAGGTGAGTTTTTAGTAGTGATTTGAAGCGCTGCAGTGAATCCAAGTTCCTGATGGACTGCAGGAGGGAGTAAGGGAGTTCCAGAGGGAAGGGGCGGCAGCAAAGGCGAAGGCTCAGTCCCCCAAGGTCCGCCACTTTATCCTGATAAGGAAAGTGAGGAGGTTGATGTCGGCTGATCTGAAGCGGTGGGTGGGACAGTGCAGACAGAGGTCAGTGAGATTGGGAGGGACCACGTTATGGAGGGACTTAATGAGGAGGACCTTGTATTGAATGCGGTATTGTTCGGGGAGCCAGTGGAGTTGCTTGAGGACAGGAGTGGGAGCAGAGTTTTTATGTTAACAGCTACATTTTACCTTTAGTTCAGTAGAGATTGGCAATTTCATGTCTGAAATCCTCCAAATGATTCGAGTGAAGGTGTATGGAGTTTAAAAACACAGCAGAGTACTTCCTGTATTACCACATGATATCACAAGGTTGAACAGTGTTTTTTGTTTTAGAGAAGAACTCCTAAACTCCAGGTATGTTTGTGATGAGGAAACAACATTATAACAGATCAGAAAATAGTGTAATATGGGCCTTTTAACTATAAGGGCGTACAGTATCTGCTCTTGAACTTGAATTATTAAAGCCATGAAATGCTGATATCAATAGGAGGTACAGAGGTTATTGGGAGTTCACAGCACGCGCCCGTCTTCTGTCTTTACACCTTGTCTCTTTGAATCCTCCACTGCTGTCGTGTAGACCGGGGCTTTGATAAATCTGAAATCTCAGCACACTGTGGAGAAATACAGCCCTGATATAGGAATATATTATGCTGTTCTTTTGACATAAGTGGTGATGTATGGGAGAGGTTCTGTTTCAGGAAATGCACTTATTTGCACAAGATTGAACAGATTTAGTACTCAGTTGTTTAAAGGGCCCATATTTCACTGTTTTCTGATATATGTTATAATGCCGTTTCCTCTCGAACAGAAAACGCTTTGGTCCACTTTGTGATGTCATCTTGTGGTAATACAGGAAGTGCTCCACTATGTTTTTAAACTCCATACACCTTCACTAGAAACATTTGCTCTGGAATTGCCAATCTGCTGAAGTGAAGCCAAGGCTGAAGGAGGTGTTAGCATGAAAACTACCACTACATGACATCAGAAGGCGGAATAGAGCATTTTCAGCTTTGGAGATGTAAACAGAAAAATAATAAAGGATTACTCGAACATGAGTGCATGAAACAAAACACAATCCTGGTACATTTTTGATTATTATAACATGGCTAAAAGCTCAATTTAACCTTTAACTTAAAATAATGACATGGTTTGTGATGTGTGAAGTGAATAAATTAATTGCTCATTTAAAACTACTAATTACCAATCAAGCAAGACTAACAGGAACTGCAATACTGCCTACTCCGCATCATAGTTTATATTGGGAACCTATGGGTGCACAATAATGGTTCAGAGCTAGGACAATTATTAAATATTGTACATACATAATGTTTAAACTTTATTTTCACAGTGCTGTTCTATATTGACTTGAGGGATAAATAACAGTTATGTAACAACCCTTGTATCATAGGACCTCATTTCCTAGTGAGCCAGAGTGTTGGAGACATGTGAAGACACTTTTTTAAATATTCCATCCAGTCCTTGTATTTGCAGAGGTCGCTGGTGCTAGACTAGTGCATGTCAATGGCCATAGTTATCTTGCCACTAAAAACAGTCTTACCCACTCCACAAAGCACCCAAAACAAATCTGTTATTACAGCAGACTGTCGATGTAAATGTCTGTGTTGATAAAATAATTTTAGAAGTAAAACCAACCTTGAATTTGAAGGATTTATGTCTAAGCAGCAGCAGCGAGTGGTACTTCCTGATAGAAAGCTTGGCAACGGTGGACTGATATATGAGTAAATAGTCCCTCAACATTCATGCGATGGAAGGTTTGTTTTATCTCACTCATTATTCTATCAACACAGACATTCACATTGACTGTCTGCTGTAATAATAGATTTGCTTTGGGTGTTTTGTGGAGTGGGTAAGACTGTTTTTAGTGGCAGGATAACTATGGCCATTGACATGCACTAGTCTAGCACCAGTGACCTCTGCAAATACAAGGCCTGGATGAAATATTTTAAAAAGTGTCTCCACACGTCTCCAACACTCTGGCTCACTAGGAAATGACGTCCTATGTCCAAAATTATGGACTGTTATAATGTTGTTACCTCCTGAAAAAATCATTTGTGGAGGTGACATGTGACATGTTTGAGTAATCTTTTATAGTCTGTCTCCTCTCCAAAGCTCAAAATGCTCTGTTCCATCTTGTGATGTTTTGAAATTGACAGCTCCTTTTACCTTTAATTTTTCCAGAGATTGGCAATTCCAGGGCTGAAATCATCCAAATGATTCTAGTGAAGGTGCATGGAGTTTTAAAAGTATTTTCTTTTTGTGAGAAGAACTCAGCGTCAATATGCAGGATTTGTGTGTTAAACATGTGCGAATGACACAAAATAAATCTCCATATATGTTTTTTTATGAGGAAACAACTTTATAACATGATGACAAATACAGTAGACTATAACATAACTGCCTAATTACTGTCATAACTTGCTAATCTTTTTGTGTTTTTATGACCCATTTACAACAACAAAAAATGAAATTGCATATTTTTAGAGATATTATTGTCACTATATATAGCTACATTTCACATATTTTTAAATTTTAGTTTTTTCTCGTTCTATTACATATTATGTGCTGTGCTTTCATCTGCAGAACATCAACCCAGAAAGATTTTTGCAGACTGTAACTGTGAACCTTTGAAACATGGTTAAATTGCAAACAGCTAATGTAATTTCAAGCAGGTCATCTGAAGTCTGAGTCACATGGACAAAAAGCACAGAATTTTCTCTACGACTTCAGTATAAATGAGACAGCAGCATTTGGAGCAGCCTGTTCACTTTGGATAATGTATGACAAAATTACACCCATTACACAGAGGCATTACTGACCAGAGAGGATGATGCTAGTGATGATAAAATGCTTTGAATACAAAAGTGTGTAGTGAAATTGTGTGTAAAACTGCATAAGGACTGAAGCTGGTTTGTTTATTTATTTGGGATCTTATTATGTTTGATTGAAATATGTTAAACTTCAGAGTAAGGGCATTTATCTTGATTTGTCACTTTTCATAGCTGACATTTAAAGTTGCACTATGTACCTTTTCTGAGAGGATGTTCCACCTGCTTGATTCCAGATGTTTTTGCTTTGCCTGGTATGTTTCACAGTATGGCTTTAATTGATGCAAATTGTGGGACATCCAGAAATAAGATATTATCAATGAGTTAATGAAAACAACTGGACTAAGCTTTTTTGAAGAGCGTTTCAAAGCTAAGTCAGTCCAGTTGTTTTCGTTTAACTTGTTGTCTGATAATACAGTATGGCATTAAGCTTTCCTCCTTCATGGCAAGGTGATAACATGTCCATGGAGACGCCCCATCAGAAAAGTTACATAATGCACCTTTAATGCATCAACTTCTGTAAAAAGAGGGATTTCTTTATCATGTTGTGCAATTTTTTTAACACGTCATTTTACAACCATCCTTTTGAAGTGAAAGCTGTTGGCTGTTCCAGGCAGTGCAGAGTCATAATGCATACTTTTACACTCCCCCAGGGTAGCCGATACGTAAAGTGCCTTTGACTGTCCAAAAATGAACCCATTATCAGGTTATCATTCTGTTTTTCCTCCTCTTGGTTCATACATTTGAGTTACAATCCTCCTGATCATTTAAACAGTTGTATTTTGTGTAGCATTTCTCATCTCTGTCTCTTTTTTACAGAGAATATTCGCAGCAAGCAGATTTAAACCATCCCCCGGAGGACAAATCTCACGTAGCTGCCTCCAACTTAATCGCTCTTCTGCTCACTCAGCACCTGAAACGCTTTTACAGCCCCTGGGCCCCCCAGCCCTCCTACCCCCCAGCTCCAGGTCCGCCACACATTTGGGTGCTCCACAAACAGCCCCATAGGTCAGTCAGTGTGAGTGTACATTTGGTGTGTTTCTTCTAATTGAAGCCCTGAAGAGGCTGAGGTCTGATGCCAGAGAACAGCCTGAGCAGCAGTGTACACTGTGACACAAAATGTCAAGACTCCAGCGTCGGCCTCATTAAAATGCAACTCCTAAACTAGGCCATTTACCTGCACGAGGCTAATCCCAAACATGGCTGTCCCCCATGTCACCAGTGCACAGACTGTCTGCTTTTTCATTGTCCTTTCTATTCCATCTAATAGTTATATAAGTGCAGTCAAAACAATTGTTATTTAAAAACTTTTTTTTTTTTTAAACTAAGTTACCAACCATTTAATTTAGGTTGAAATATATTAATGTACTTGTCACGGTGCTAAGCTTGCAAGCAGATTTCATCATATTGCTCATTTTGGCAAAACAAAATCCAGGAGGTCTGTTCAGACTGATGCTGTGCAAAAGTGAGATAGCACATGTAATATTTAAGCTCATACACAAAATGGTGATGTAAGGCCCCAGGCATTTAGCTGGACTCAAGAGAGTTTAAAAGCGTAGTCTATAACAGTGATTCTGGTGTCCCTTGGGGGGACATGTTGAACAATGTAAAGTATTTCTGTAGCTACAACTGCTCTGGGGCAGACCAATGGTACACTGGTTTCCAGTCATAAAATCATACAGATATATTTATTAAACAATCTTAGATTCACTGTCCCCCATTTAAACTTCACTTCAGTCACTCAAATACTTTCTCTTTTCTGCTTTGTTGTAAAAGCTGCTGGCGTCTGTGAATGGAGACAGGGCTTCAGGTAAGATGGTGGTGTTTAGTTTGATCTATGTTAAACTGTCAGCCATTCGCCCAGTGTCTTACATAATATTTTCACTAAGGCAGATCGGCGAGTGTCGTTAAATAGTAAAGGTAAATGAAGCAGAGCGCTCCAATCAGCACATCGCACAGTGACCTTACACTGAGAGGAGACGTCCTGGGCCCTGATTTATCCAACTCTGAATAAACGCACTGGAGCGTGGAGAGGCAGCCTGGTCATCAGTAATCATCCGCCTGCACTACCTTTAAAACTGTGTCCTTCAGGGGCCAATGTCTCATAGAACAAAGGGAAGGCTCGTTCAACTAAAGGATGTCATTGCTTGAGTGATAAATGTTTTCTAATTTTTACCATATCACAAGAAATAAATGGCAGAGAAGTTTTAACAACATCTGGTGGTGACATTGCAAATTGCATGTTTTTGTCTTGGAAGAACAGATTGAAGTGGAAACAATTAGAAACAATTAGATATATCCAGTGTTGGAAAGAAACTGAACACATATGTATACTGACTACTAATTTTACTTTTTCATTTGGTGGTATTCAGAATGTAGGTATTCTATATTCTGTAACTAAATACATTTTCAAAACTATTCTTCCTAAAACTGTATATCAGGTACATGTGTCTTTTGCTTGGCGATAATTTCATGCAGATAGATGGCTGGTAAAATTAATAATGTTAATATATAGTCATGTATGCATAGTTTTGATACATTGTGAACTCAAGACCTGAGTAAATAATACAAAAGCACAGTTTCAACAATTAGAGGTTATAGTTTTGGATGCTCCATTATAACATCCCCCCATCTCGAGCACATTCAGAAAGTACTATACATGGATTCAGTAACAAAATAATTACACTTCCATAAATTTTGTCCAGAATAAATAATAGTAAAGCATGATTTTGTGTGTTTGTTTAGTTAATTATCCATATTTTATCTAACAAACATTTATAAATAGATTATAGTGAGACAGGACAGATTCCTTCATGACATGGTTGATGTTGTATCTCTTGAAACATAAACATACTTGGAGAGCTCACCGGCTTCTCCATTTAAGGCTGCGCACTGAGAAAGAGCTACTCTCAACTCATCTGACCCAAATTTAGGTCACTCGATTATTGTGGTCTCTCGTGTTTAACTTAAACCGCTTCTACATTGCATCTTTGCTCTTTGAGACCTCTTTCGCAATCTACTCCTGAGTCCAGCTGTTTCAAAAAAGAAAAAGAAAAAAACATTACAAAAAAGTAGCCTGTCTTTGCGCATGCGTGGCTCCAAACTCCGCTCTTGACGCAGGCCGAGCGCACTGATGGGACCTTTCCGATTGAGATGACTATCTACAATTTACTTTGTCTGCAAATTCCCTGAATCCCTAACAATTAAAAGTTGCAGCTAACATTCAGCACGGTGAGTCTACTTTCTGCTAGTCTGCTTTTTATTTTAAAACATGAAAATCTAAAAAAAAAAAAAATGTAGTCCTAATTTAATTTAAACTCTAATAGTGAGTGGGTTGGTACTCTTGTGACTTCAGGTTCAGGTATGTTTCACTTTGCTTTTTACTTTTTCTTTATTTTTACCCGCAGGAGCTATTTTACTCGAGCGTTTTAACATTCAGTCGGTTTCTTTTATTTTTCTTTTCACAAGTCTGAACACTTCATCAATTTCTATAGGTCGTTCAGATCATATTGGCTTGTTTACTGGCAGGCAGAGAAAAGTCCTTGGTTTCATCTTGTCATTTTTGGTACCAGCTTTTAATGCATTTATTCGTCTGGTAAACATGCGTAGGGTTTATAGGTCTGTAGTAACAAACAGCATTTACACTCTTGGTAAACAGATTTTTTGTTCTGTACATCCTCTCACATTTACACGGACGCGCCAAAAAGCCATCTTAAAAAAACAACAACTACACACACACAATGAGAGGGGCGGTGGGGCTACAGCAACATCTTTCTCTGGAAACAACTGGATCGTTCATCGGAATTTTTCCTAGGAAATGAAATGGAGTGGGAAGTAAATTATAAAAAAACCAAAAAAGACAAAGGCTCTCTCAGTCCGACCACAATAAGTCGCACTTAAGGTTCAGAATGGTGAGTAGTCTACTTTTTATTTTTAAAAGATGAAATACTAAAAATGTAATTTAAAGGTGCACTGCCTAACATGTTTACATTCAGCTCTACTTTACATTAATTAAATTACAGGTGGTTTTATTGCTCAAAAATACTTAGAAAAACAGGCATTCTGACTGTGAGTGGGGTCGCCTCTGCACAGATCTGACCTGTAACTTGGTCTGGTTTGGTCTCCATGGAGATAAAAAGGTTTAATGTCATACTGTGAAATATTCCAGACAAAGCAATAACATCTCCATGGAGAAAAGCATTTAATGGACATTTCACCAGAAAAGTTACACAATGCAACTTTAAATGAAAAGGAATACATGTTTGGTTTGACTGCACAGTGTTAGTTAGAAAAATAAATAAATAATGCAGCTTTTGCAGGGCGTGAATGAGTGATTTTTCGTCTCCAATTAGACACAAGTTAATGCATAACAAACAGTGCATTTTTATGGACCCTCCACCAGAAAAGTTTCACAGTGCACATCAAAAGTACATTTTTAAACTTAAATAGTTTTACTCAAATAATTTTTTCATGCCCCTGCATCTGTACTTTTACCTAAGTAACAAAAATGAGTATTTAACCCAGCACTGGTGTCAAGTTTCTCATTGGGAAAAAAGAAAAATCCTTGGCTTCATCTTATAAAAAAAAATTTCAGAATTTTTTGCTAGAGACTTTTCTTGGTAATGTTTGTAGGAGCAAAGACAAGACTTTTTTTTCTATACATCCTCCCACATTTACACTGACATGCCAAAATCTTAGGGATATCGTGATATTGTATTGTCAAAAGTCTCACAATAATATTGTGGGCTGTCACAATATATCGAATTACAAGTTCCTTTGCTTAAATGCATGGATTTATAGTAGCAACAGCTTATGAACATTGGGAATTACATATCCCTTTTTGGTGCAGACACATGAAGAGATATTTTTTTTACTTGAATTTTTGGGATTATGACGGAAATAATTCACACCAAAATCTTGTCAAGGTATTTTAAAAGCAAAAAAGTGTCCTATCTACAATTATATTTGCCTCTTCAAAATATTGCAATAAATATCATACCGTGAGGTGCATATTGTGATAATATCATACTGAGAAAGTTGGATATCATTTCATCCCTACAAAATCTTATTTAAAAAAAAAAGAAATAAAGAAAGTCTTTCTCTGGAAACAGCTGGATCGTTCTGAATGGAATTTATCCAGTGAAATTAGGCAACAGTGGACTGGGAAGTAAATTACAACAGTATGGGTGAAGTGTCGGTAAACCTTATGTAGCGAATAAACAGCTCAAATAATGTTCAGGGCATCTATTAACCCACTTCCATCTTATTTATACGATCTATTTCAAGATAGAGATGCTCGTCTTATCTACAAACCGAGAGGTAATAAAAATATATCACTCTAAATTTAGAACTACTTTAACACCAGTGTGCAGCTCAGTACGTGGAGTTAACCTGTGGAGAGGGTTATAAGAAGAAAAGAAAAAAGAAAAAGAAAGAAAAGTGTGTAGGAGCCTTGTCCAGTTTAAAAATGTATTTAAAAGAGAAATAATGAGAAAATACCTGGAGGAGAGTAGTGATGTCAGGTGGAGGGAGCTGCAGGGTCAGAGAGGGTTATGTGTTTGTTTTGTCTTGTCATGTCATGTATAACACATTAGTCTATTGAATTTTCAAACCATGCATGTGTGTAGTTGTGTCTGTACTGTTATGTAAATTATATGTGCAAGTTTGAAATAAATATTCAAACTAACTAACAAAGAATGTTACACATCACATACCACTCCAACTGAATACACTGCTCTGTACATGATATTATGACAACCAAACATTAAGCGAGGTGTAGCATGGAGTACATAGTGCAGCTGCTGTTTAGGGCAAGTTTTGGCTTCACGTTAAACCCCAAACCGAGTAAGACTCTGGCTGCCACATCAGACACATCAGTTCATAGGTGTGGAGTAACTGTGAAAATGATTGTATAACTGTAATAATTTTATTTTAAGCATTGACATACCAACTTGTCAGTGCCCAAGCATGCCAGATGTTAGAAGCTAAGTAATGTCAGGCCTGGTTAGGGCTTGGATGGGAGACTGATATATAGACCAGGTGCCACAATGGGAAAAGGTCATTGTGTCCTTAGGCAAGACACTTCACCCACCTTGCCTACTATGAACGTGGTGTGTGAGTGATGGAGGAGATTGGCAGCCTCACTAGCATCAGTCTATCCCAGGGCAGCTGTGGCTACAGCAGTAGTTTATTAGCACCAATTACAAAGTGAAGGAATAAAACTTTTTTTTTTTTTTTTTTTTACTATTATTACTATTATTTACTTTATTTGTAATTTTGACAGTTAATTCTATAGTAGTACTCAATGACATCATGTTAAAAAAACTATAAACATTCCTAGGTTCAGTGAAGGCACCTTCTGTGAAGACTCACTTGTCAGATAACTATTTCCTCCAGCATTTCCCAGTCAAACAAAGTGCTTATGTGTGTGCCCTGTGTTTTAGAGGAGTTCGGCCCCTGCCATGGCCCTCACAGGGATGCTCCTTCTGTGTCTGCTCCAGACTGCAGCCTCACAGCTGGTACCTCGAGGTCCCAGACCCATCCCAGGCCGAGGGGACCAGCCTCTTGTCACCCCAGCTCCACAACTACAGCCAACTCTGCCCCCAAGTCCTGAAGGTTGTGAGAGTGAGTGCTGCGTGAAAAATATTACTTTTATTTTACCATCAGTTCTCAAAGTCATTTTAGTACTTGAACTGTTTCTGAACTGGTGTGAATCATATATTCTTACTGTATTTCAAATGCTGTTACTTTTTTATGATGTAATTTTACACTACAAATACTATACGCTAGAAATAAAAATCATCAATAAGTCTTAATGTTATGTATTTGCAAATGTAAATATTAACATAGACTTAGGATTCACACCCTTTGTGTTATCCATAGACAATAACATCCCTTTAGTATGCAGGCCAATTTAATTATGAACTTCTTAGAAAAGTTAATTTGGGTTAGGGTATACTTGAACTCTTGTTGCCAAGTCCTATTATTAATTCAACATCTCGGACTTATTCCACAGGAGAGATCGACTGTCCCATCCAGGTCTACTTCACCATCGACACTTCAGAAACTATTGCGTTACAACAGCCTCCCCCTGGACAACTGTTCGAAAGCGTCCGCGAATTCACCAAGACATTCGCGCAGAAGCTGAATGACGAGAACTACAAGGGTCAGATCAAGATTACTTGGTCTATTGGCGGTTTGCACTACTCCCAAACTCAGGAATTCTTCAGCTCATTGACCAACAAAGCCACCTTTATCAGTCGCCTCAGTGGCATCAAATATCTGGGCAAGGGCACCTACACGGACTGCGCCCTCAAGAACATGACGTACCAGATGACCCACCAGTACCAGGACTCGAAGGCGGTGCGCTTCTCTGTAGTGATCAGCGACGGGCACGTGACTGGGAGTCCCTGTGGTGGCATCAAGATCATGGCAGACAGAGCAAGAGAGGAGGGAATCCAGATCTTTTCCGTGGCGGCTTCCAGGGTCATCGATGAACTGGGCATGAGGGAGATCGCCAGCTCGCCCACCGATGTCTACAGGGACGACTTCCTGGCAGTGGATATAGTGAACGGACGACCCACGATCATGACGAAGACCATTGATCGGATTATCAAAACTATGGTGATGAGAAACACTTATTAGGGGCAGAGGGGTCAATGGAGGAGCAAAGGAGTCTGTTGTCCCAGGGTCTTAGGAGAATACATGCATCCTGAATTTTGGACTTCTGGTCAATGCATACTGGGAAGGATCCTCTGAAAAAGTGAGCACCAAACTGCCATGTTTGATTTCCCAGTGGGATGTGTCTATTGTCAAAGTCGATCTTTTCAAATCTTTTGAACCATATCACTTTTGTTTCTTGTTCTGATATTGTCACATTTTAATGATGGGATTCAGACATCGTAATTGTGTGGTTGTTGGATGTCCTAACAGTGGAAAATGGGCTTTGGAAGTCTGCGAACTCCATAACTGCAAAAGGGAATGAGATCTGTGTGAGTGCAAACCTCTGTTCAAACTGTTTCCCTTCCCAACGGAATTGAAAACTAGTGAAAGGTGAAGGCGATGGGCAGTATTGATCCACAGGAAGGACAAAAAAGGAAACCTTTGGCTGCCTAAGAAATCATCCCAAGTTTGCAGTAAATATTTTGTATGTGGAGCACTATCAATGCCAAATCTCGTTTGTTAAGCGAGAGGCACAACTGGTTTTAAAACAACATCACATCTTGGTCTCTTTGCCGTGGAAGGTGTTTCTTGGTGAACAGCTGGTGCCTTTCGCTTTGGCGTTGACTTTTAAATTTGTAACCAAGATTGAGTGAGGGATTGGAATTTTGCTTTGTTGGTGCTTCACATACAAAATGTTCACTGCAAACTCGGGATGATTTCTTAGGCCGCCAAAGATTTCCTTTTTCGTCCTTCCTGTGTATCAATACTGCCCATCGCCTTCGCCTTTCACTATTTTTCAATTTCATTGGGAAGGGAAACAGTTTGAACAGAGGTTTGCAGTCACATAGATCTGATTTCCCTTTGCATTTATGGAATTCGCAAACTTCTGAAGTCCATTTCTCGAGCTGTTCTCCACTGTTCCAACAACCACACAATTACGATGTCCGAATCCCATAACTAAAATATGACAATATCAGAATCAGAAACAAACGCGGTCTGATTCAAAAGACTTGAAAAAATTGGCTTTGACAATAAACGCATCCCACTGGGAAATCAAACATGGCAGTTTGATGCTCACTTTTTCGGAGGACCCTTTCCAGTATGCTTTGTGGGATGACCGGAAGTACGCAATTCGGGATGCATGTATTTGACCCTCTTTCTGTTAATTTATATTAGAGGGGCAGGAGGTTTCTTGCCCACACATTTCTGTTGATGGGCCTGGTTAGGGCATATGTTCATTTGGGTTGATTGACTCTGTTCTAGTCCAGAATCTTTTCTGGTCTAGTTCTGGGCTTAGTCCAAGTTTAGTCCTAATTTGGATGAGGTTTGTGTGTGAATGCCTCCATAGATTGAAATGTAGGGATTTAGCCATTCTACTTTCTACTTGTGTAGCTTTTCTGCTGGAGCGTCCATGGAGATGTTATTGTTTGATCTGTAGTGTCTCAGGATGCTATGAAGCATATCCATCTTGCTTTTACTCAATGACTTTGGTTGTTACTGACCTAAAAACATGAATTCTTACTGTGTATGGGCTCGCCTCTCCACAGACCTGACATGTAACTTGACCGTGGGGTGTCACCTGCTCTCTCTGTAGAGATAAATAAGTGTAATGCCATACTGTGGGACATTCCATGCAATATCTTGACGGGGAGAAGCTGGTGACGGACCCTCCACCAGAAAAGTTACATCGTGCAGCTTTAAGTGAGATTCTAGACGTAATAAGGATGATGAAAACATGCTGAGATAAATGCAAATAATGATAATAAATAAATGAACTGTATGGAGGTAGTAACGTAAATAATGACGTTAAATATCTCTTCTCTTTCCTTAACAGAAATATCAAGCATATTTACAGGTAAGAACTGAAAATGAAAATTCTGTATATTCAGATAAAATTGTTATTGGTTTTGATTTTGGATTCTTTCTTTTGGTTGTTTTAGTGCTATAAAACTCCATGTTACGAGACACCCGGACCCCCAGGTCTAAAGGGTCACAAAGGCCTAAAGGTACAGTATGACAAAGATCATTCGATTCCTTAAATTTGTTGATAATATAATTTATTTCTCAATGGCTCATTTCTTTGTAATTTTCACAGGGAATTAAAGGAGGTCGGGGTTTTGCTGGACCAAAAGGTGAAAAGGGTAGAGAGGTAGGAAAAACACATAGGACAATGATATACAGTACATTAATCACAGTGCTGCTGATGCTGAGTTCGTGTTTTACAGGGAGATCCTGGTATAGAGGGACCCATAGGGCGCCCTGGACCAAAGGTTTGACTTGAGCTTTAATTTTATTTTTCTTTTTTTTAAACTTTTCTTTATATTTGTTTGATATTAATATCATGTGCTTTCTTGTTTGCACAGGGAGGAATGGGTCCTAAAGGAGACAAAGTAAGACCCATAAAGTTTATTTATTTAACCTTTATTTAAAAGGCCCTTATTACACAGTTTCTTTTTTTTTCTTTTTTTTTTTTAACTTTGTTTTTATTAAGTTTAAGATATCACAGCTTGTACATCATAGTCTATTACAAAGCTGATTACATTAATGTTATGCTGGACAAATGCACAAGTACATTTAGAGACCAAACCGTATAGAAAAAAAACAATAGTAATAACAGAAACAATTATACAACATACACACATACAAATACTACATATACAATAATAATAATAGATAAAAAACAAAAACATACACACGTTCACTAGAATCATTTGGATCATTTCAGAGCATTTTGAGTTTCAGAGATATAGACAGACTCAACAGGGTTACTCAAACATGTGACTGAAACAAAAGAGAACTCCATGTATGTTTTTGAGGAAGTAACAACATTATAACATACCTTAAACCTCACAAGAATTGGTTTTATGCAATGTAGGATCTTTAACCAAGAAAAAATCCAATTGAGATTAAACTTTAAATATAAAAAGAGACTGCAGTTTAACACATAGTTTTAACATATATACACAAACAAACAATAAAATGACATGGATCATAGTTTAGTGCACATTAGTGAGACGTTAGTGAGATTTAAAACCATTAAGTTCTTTTATTTCTCAAAGTTCTTAAAGTTTTTGTAAATCTGTTAAAGCTTTGATTTAATGTCTGACTTGTTTTGTGTTGACAGGGGGACATGGGAGCATTGGGAGCAAAGGTAGGCTTTTATTGTTTTTATTTACACAAACACAAACAATTATAAATGAAGCACTATTTAGATTATACTTTTCTAACTCGTAACCTGCTCCTTCAGGGAACAGGAGGAGATCATGGCAGGAACGGGACTGATGGACAAAAGGTACATGCATGTTGATATCACATTTAAGCATACGTGATGGTTTAGGTGCAGAGATACATAATATTGTTGTGTTTGCAGGGTAAACGTGGCCACATTGGAGCTCCAGGCTGTAAAGGGGATCCAGGAGACAGGGTGAGAGGAGTTTTTCATGAGTGTTGGTTTGAACAAAAGGTTATCTATTTGTAAGCATTCAAAACATCCATCAACTTGCATCAGCCAAAACTGTATAAAAAGTGAACAGAGCCATGGAACAATCCCATTATATACTAGGTCAGTACTTGTATTAATTTGATGAAACTCTGGTTTAAGAATATTTTAAATTTAACCCTAATTCATCCATTCATTCATTTTATTCTATCCGGGGCTGGGTCGCGGGGGCAACAGTCTAAGCAGGGACTCCCAGACTTCCTTTACCCCGGACACTTCCTCCAGCTCCTCCGGGGGGACCCTAGGCCAGCCAAGAGACATAGTCCCTCCAGTGTGTTCTGGGTCTTTCCCAGGGCCTCCTTCCAGTGGGACATGCCCAGAACACCTCCCAAGGGAGTTGCCCAGGAGGTTTCTGGACCAGATGCCTGAGCCACCTCAGCCGACTCCTCTCGACGTGGAGGAGCAGTTACTCTACTCCAAGCTCTTCCGGTGTGACTGAGCTCATCACCCTATCTCTAAAGGAGCACCCAACCACCTCGCAGAGGAAACTCATTCCAGCCTCTTGTTTCCGCGATCCTTTCGGTCATTACCCAAAGCTCATGACCATAGGTGAGAGTAGAAATGTAGATTTACTGGAAAATCGAGAGCTTTGCCTTTCAGCTCAACTCCCTTTTCACCGCAATGGCCCAATACAGTGACAGCATCACTGCAGACCCTAATTCAACTAGTTAGTAGCTTTTTATTATTTTTTATTGTTTCTTAAAGTGACCAAGTGTGTACAAAACTACAAGTATAATTCAGCATGAGCACTGTACATGTTTTCATAATTCTACTTCATGTGTCTGTTTTTGACGAGATAACAACATTCTAACAGAGCATAAAACTCACAAGAATCAATTTTGTGTAAAACGGGACCTTTAAACATTAAATTATGTATTGTGCTGAAGAACTATAGTACATGTAATGCTTAAATGATGTTGCTGTTTGAAGGGGCCAGATGGTTTTTCAGGAGATGTGGGTGACTCAGGACAACCGGGCGACAAAGGTGATAAGGTCTGTATCCAATCTGTCTCATGTTTCCATCTGTATAATAATGTGGAGTCTGATGTAATAGGACCAGAACATTTATTATATTATTTAGATTTTTTTCCCCCCTTTGATTCACCCATTTATGAGAGTTTCACAGTTAACTAAGTCTCAAGATCCATCTATGTAAAATTATTTGTTTTGTCTTTGGAGATCACACTTGAACAGTGGTGGATGACGTACTAAGTTTTGTTACTTAAGCAAAAGCACAGATACAGGGGCAAAAAGTTATGTAAAATTTAAGTAAAAATATTAAAGTACCTGTTTAAAATGTTTTTTAAAAGTATTTTGCAGAGCTTTTAAGAACAATTAAAGCACAAAATGTAGTGATTTTGGTAAAGAATTTAGCTGATTTAAGTGATTCAATTGATTTCTTGATCTTTGTAGCTGTTTTTGTGCATTTCTGTAAACAGTTTGCTCAAAGTTAGGACATTAACTCATATTAAGAAAAAAATAACTCTCAGGCTTTTTAGCAAGTCTCAAACCATTAAGAAAAATACTTTTACTTTTCAGTCCAGATCTAAAATGTACGTAGAAAGCACAGATGCTCTCAAATGTAATGTAGAAGTTAAATGTATCCACTGTAAAATTAAAGTATGGATACCTAAAAACTGTACTTGAATATTGTACTTTTGCTTTTGTACTTTGTTACCTTCCACCACTGAACTTGAATTGCCAACATAATAATTCTTTATAAATATCAAAATGGGCTTTAGGGTGACATTGGATTGCCAGGAAAGGCCGGTCCTCCAGGCTCAGTCGGTGAACCAGGAGCCAAGGTTAGTTTACTTTAAAAATACACAAATACAGACTTAACCCCAAATAAACACAGCCTGCATAAACAAGGTGCATCTCTGTCATAGGGGGAAAGCGGAGATGCTGGCTACCCAGGAGAGCAGGGCCAGAAAGGCTCAAAGGTATTCACAGGACTTACTTTTTACAGTATTCCTAATGTTGTAGATTTACATAAAGCGTTCTCTCACAACAACCATTATCTCACAATTGCCTCTGTGGACAGCAGCATACTACATAGCCCACTGTGTCTCAAAGCTAACAGTTACTTTTATTAAAATCGTTAAATATAAAATCAAACCACCTATTAAAATTCAAATTAATTCAAGTCAAGACTACCCAATTGTTTTTATGTATAAAATACTTGAGCTTGTGTACTTTTTAACTTTTTTGTGTACTTTTTAATATGTTGTTTGTTAAATCCACTTGAAACTCACTGTCCACTGCCTTATGTTTAAATATTTATTAATTTTAGAAAGATAGAAAAAAAGATAGATATACACAGGTCCATCGACAGAAATTTGGGGGTCCAGAGCAAGAAGCTTTACACGGGCCCCCCCTCTAATATAAATTAATAGGAAGAGGGTCCAGTTCTGTAGCCTGATTTATCTTTATACCTCTCAGCATTAGGATTTGTTCGCTCGACAGTAGGCGGGTACTTTTTTTATTCAAACAATTGCTGCTATTTGGTCGTGACGTATGTAATGCTCCAAATCCCGTAGGAAGAAGGGCAATAAAATCTTTTCCCGTGATAAAATTCACCAAACATTCTCTTTCTCCCGGCTTTAAATCCTTGACCTCGGGAATCGTTGCCAACACAGAATGTATGGCTTCGTCTACAACTATCTCGACCGCTTTGTTTACTGTTTACTGTTTGTTTACACAAAAGGGACCCAGACAGATGTTTGAGTTTGACGTCACGGCTTCACAGCTCTTCACTGATTGGCCGGTGCATGGTTTACAACTTCCAAGGTTCTTGCAAACCGTCTAGTGTATTCTGATTCCTGACCTAGTCGCTGGAGAGAAAAGAAATTGAGCGGAGGCACTAGGTGGCGCCAGCGTGGCTAACAATTCTGGGCCCCTAAAACCTGGGGCCCGGGACAACAGACCCCTGTGCCCCTTCATCTACTGCCCTGGATACACAATTGGACAAGAAGCAGTGATTCTAACAGTGTGGTTGCTGGACGCTGTTGTGCACAGAGCCTATTGTTGCAAAAATTAGCATAATTTAATTTTCAATATCATCAGCTCTATTGCTTGCAATTAAATGTATTCCTTTTTGCAGGGGCTTAAGGGGCTACCCGGTCAACGAGGACAACCGGTATTGTTTGTGAATTCTCATGTATTTTCAAATGTAAAATGAGAGTGAGTGATTGACTTCTCTTAATATCTAACAGGGAAGAGCAGGAGATCCTGGTCCAAAGGGTGCTCCAGGACAGGATGGACCAGGTGGAGAAAAGGCGAGTATTAAAATTAACTTGCTTTTCACCCTACATAACACTGTGGGCTGTGGTTAGTCAGAGAGATAAGTCTGTAGTTTGATCATGAAAAATGTGTGGGAGTAATGTGAATTTCAAACTCTCTGGGGAAGGTTCCAGCTCAAAACACTTCCTGTCTGCTGTAATTTGGCTCAGTTTCAAACTAATAGACTTAATGTAATGAGAGTCCCAGGATAATTCTTCACAGATTGGCCGAAACCGTCAGTACTTTTTGCTCACCTCTGTTTGTGCATGGGTTTATTCATGAGCCATTACAAACTTTGATATCTCCATTTGTTTTTAGGGGGAACGAGGACCAACTGGAAGCTCTGGTCGACCTGGGGAAGAGGGGACGAAGGGAGCAAAGGTACTTATACTCTGACATTACTATGAGTCAGCAGCCTGTGCAAAAACAGCTTCACTTCATCCTCCATTTCTCCAGAAACGCCCACCAATTCCCGATTTAGGTCTGAGGGAGAAAAATCTGACTTTCAAGGGAGGCGGTTTTGTTTTTCATTAAAACTGACATCGATGTAGGTTTTAAATGTTTCACAATAAGTACCACAGTTTTAATACAGGATTATTTGCTCTTTAAAGGTGCATTGTGTAACTTTTCTGGTAAAGGGTCTGTCATTTAAGTTTTTTATGCAGAGATTTTATTGCTTTGCCTGAAATGTGGAGACGGGGAGGTAACAGACCCTCCACCAGTGAAGTTACACAGTGCACCTTTAAGAAGCAAAAATTAAATATTATACTATGTCTAGCAGCTGTGATATTTGAATGAATCAAATATGTTAGCAGTGAGTGGTTTTAATAACTTTTCTTTCTAACTGTGTTTATTTCTTTAGGGAGGAATGGGGCTTCCTGGTCCAAGAGGTTCACCAGGAGAAGAGGGGAGTCCAGGATCACCTGTGAGTCTTAAAGAATCAACAGCAAATTACCAATCGAAACGTAAACAAAAGCTCAATCACATAACTGTCATCTGCAGGGCTCTGTGGGAGATTATGGAGAACAGGGGCCTAGTGGACAACCAGGACCTCCAGGACCAATAGTAGGTCCCAGGTTATAATATCATGTATGAAGTTTAAAGTGCCTATGACAGGTTAGACTACGCATTTTACTAAAACACAGTTAAGATTATGATATGAATATGAAACATTTTTGCAAAAAGCATTAATTTTCCCACTTTTTTTAGGTGTAAAAATGTACTTCTTGTAAATATTATTAGGTTATTTTTTTAGACCAAGAGTTTGTTTTCATACCTGACAGTTTGGACTGCTCACTAGTCGTCTTCCTCAGAGTGGTCACATTATGTCCGGTCAGCTGATTTATACACGTCCCCACGTCCCAGTTTGCTCTGTTTGCTAACATCATTGGGACAGAAGAAAACAAACACCGTCACTGGATAAAAAGGCTATTGAAATATGGAAATGTGCCCACGGGACTATAAACTGGGATGAAGGGGCTTTTTTACTCTCACACACACGGGATACTGTCCTGAAGAAGTCAGACTGCAGATGGCCCTGTCGTCCTGCCTCCACCGGTAGGAAGACAGCGCCAAAACCTGTATAAATCAGATGAACAGACACATCACATCAACATCACGTTACAACTCTGAGGAAGACTGCTAGTGAACAGTCAAAACTATCAGGTATGAAAACAAACTCTTGTACTGAAAAAAGAACCTAATAACATAACATATCGGAAGACCATATGAACCTCATTGGTATTTCCTGGTTTGAAATCATGACTTGACGATTAACTGAGTGATGCAAATATAAGAAAACACCTTTATTTTGTTTAAATCAAGTTTAAAGTATCATAAAAAATATGTTTGTTTGAAAATTGTGCTTAACTTGCAGATAGAATTCTCCCTGCATCAACTTTTCTTGGCAAATTGCTTCTTGGCTGGCATAAAACTATAATTTATTTATTTATTTCACCAAATTAAGCAAACATTTGAGAATCATAAAAACCATACACACTTTAAGCATGGGACTAAATGTGCTTTCTATTAAAGGGCGAAAACGGAAGGCAAGGATTCAGCTACACTGGATCAAGGGGACCAACAGTATGCTTTCCATTTTCTAATTTATTTATGAATTTTAAATATAAAACCACACTGAATCTATATTAGTACATGTTATTTTTTTCAGGGAGAGAAAGGTGATAAAGGAAAAAGAGGCCCCAGAGGAGGAAGAGGCCACTGTGGAGACAAAGGAGAGGCTGGAACAAAAGGAGTGCCCGGAGAGCCTGTAAGATAAATTAAACACTTTGAACTGGAATTAGTTTACTGTTCATAGGCTTTGAAAATTTGCTCAGTTAAGAAATTAATTAAAGGGCCCATATTACACTGTTTTCTGACTTTACAATGTTGCTTATTCATCACAAACAGACCTGGAGTTGTGTTTTGTTTCATTCACACATGTTTAACACACAAACCTTGCATATTTAGGCTGAGTTCTTCTCTCAAACTGTCTGTTATACCTTGCGATGTCATACAGGAAGTGCTCCACTATGTTTTAAACCCCATATATCTTGGGATGATATCAGCCCTGGTATTGCCAATCTCTACTGAACAAAAAGTAAAAGTTAGCTGTTAACTTGGAAACTACCACTACATGATATCACAAGGTGGAACAGAGCCTTTTGAATTTGGAGTTATCCTTTATTATTAGTCTGTCTACATCTCTAAATGTGTGAATGAAACAAAACATAACCCTCCGTATGTTTTTGAGGAGGTAACAGGATTATAACATGGCTTAAAGCTCAGAATGTGTGTTATAGAACCTTTAATATCCAATCCAATAAAATAACTGGAGCATTAACCCATATCAGACAACTAGAAGTCCTTTCAAGACATCATTTTTATTTACTTAGTGAGTGTTTTCTCAATATTTAAGGGGGAACCAGGGCCACCAGGTCATCCAGGAGAGAGAGGACCTAGAGGAGAGCCAGGTCCTGATGTAAGCAGCAGCAAATCAATACAAGAGATGTAGAACGTTTTCACACTTTTAATGCCTGATAATACATTTTGCATCTTGTGTTTTTAGGGTGATCCTGGACCAATGGGGGACCCTGGACTGACTGTAAGTACATTTAAAGGGCCCATATTACGCTATTTTAAAAAAAATCTCTGTTATAATGTTATGTCTTCATCAAAAACGTATCTGGAGCTGTGTTTTGTTTCATTCACACCTTTAACACACAAACCCTACATATTTAGGATGAGTTTGTCTCTCTAACAGAAAATGCTCCACCTTGTGATGTCAAGTGGTCATACAAGAGGTGCTCTACTGTGTTCTTAAACTCCATACACCTTCATTTGGATGAAATAAAGGTAAAAGGTGCTGTTGAAAACTTGAAAACCACAGCTTCATGGCATCTCAATGTAGGACAGAGCATTTTGAGGTTTGCAGATGTGGACAAACTAATAATAAAGGATGACTCAAACATGTGTGAATGAAACAAAACACAACTCCAGGTATGTTTTTGAGGAGGTACCAGCAGTTAACATGGCTTAAAGCTCACAAGAGTCAATTTTGCGTAATATAGGAGGACCTTTAAAAATTGATATTAGTTCTGCACTATAAAAAGTAAAAATACACTGTTGTGAATACAGGAGTGTGACGTTATGACATATATCAGAGAGACTTGTGGTTGTTGTGGTATGTGGTTTTATATTTCAATTAATTCTAATAAATTAAATACCTGTGTTTTAAGAGGATGTCCTTGTTAATTGTCAGATTGTGAAAAGCATTGCGGAGCCCTGGACATCGTGTTTGTGATTGACAGTTCAGAAAGTGTAGGGCTGTCCAACTTCACTCTAGAGAAGAACTTTGTAATCAACACCATAAACAGACTGGGATCTATGGCCAGTGACCCCACTTCACCCACAGGTAGGACGTTTTCAGTAACTGCATTTTTCAGTGGACCACCCATTTCCCTTTTGAACGAGTATCTTTTATTGTTTTAGGTACAAGAGTTGGAGTTGTACAGTACAGTCATAATGGTACCTTTGAAGCCGTCCGCCTCGACGATCCAAACATAGACTCCATATCAGCTTTCAAAATGGCTGTGAAGAGACTGGAGTGGATTGCTGGAGGGACATTCACCCCCTCAGCTTTGAAATTTGCCTATGATACCCTGATTCGCAACAGCAAGAGGGCACGCTCCAAAGTGTCCATGGTGGTGATCACAGACGGAAGATTTGATCCACGTGACGATGAAGATCTGCTCACATATATTTGCAGCGATGCTCAGGTGGAAGTAAATGCGATTGGGGTGGGGGACATGTTTGGCAAGATGCAGCAGAATGAGACGCTCTTGTCTATAGCGTGTAATAACAACAAGAGAGTCACTGAGATGAGGCGTTATGCAGATCTCATGGCAGAGGACTTCATTGACAAAGTAGAGACTTGGATTTGTCCAGGTAAGTAAAGTGTAGACCTCAAAGTCCTTTAATACATACGGTGGTGTATTGCTATCACTCCCCAAAAAATATTTCGGCTCAGTATCACGTAATTACGTGAAAAGTTTCACGTTATAACGTGATATTTTTCACGTTATAACGTGAAATTATCACGTTATTTCATGATATGAAATTTTCACGTTATTTCGTGATGTGGTTGTTAGGTTTATCTAAACATTATAAACAAGAAGAAAGACAAGAGATTAATTCAGTTTTACTCATGAGGAGAACGGGCAGAGAGTGGGCATCAAAACCAACAGTCTCCACACGTTCTGATGACTCAAGGCCGCTCTCCTCCTTTTATTTCATTAGGAGGCCCTAGTTACAGAATGATAATTCTCAAGGGGAAGGGGAAACCAGCAAAGACATAATAAGAAACTGATGCAGCTAAGCATAGTATAAACACATAAAACATGATTAACAATCAGGAGGTGCCTTAGGTCAGACACCATCATAACTCTTGCATGTGTGACAGTGGGAGTTGGCTTCATGTGAGGAATCATCTCGAGGTTCACAAGAGCGATAGGACACTGCACACAGTTGTCAAACACAGAGAGGTTATTCAACAAGTGACAAGTGATTGGTACATTATAAATCAAAGAATTGTAGTACATAAATGGTTAACTCATAGACCTAGAATATCACACAAGTATTTAGCAAATATGGGATAATAGAATTATTCTGACATTTCCCTCCTGTTTATCATATATTTGCTAAAGAAGAATCAATTCATAACTACTTCTTTCGATTTTCAGTTATGATTTCATAGTCGAGCAATTTTTACACTCGGAGGTAATGTTATTTTAGTCGTGTATTTCTGCGTCATGATTAAATAGAAGTGAGAGAGCCAAGGAGGAGGAGTCCCCAATGTATGAATCATCACCAGCCAACAAATGTGCTTGCACTGCCTTATCGTCAGGATATGGGGCAATTGCAGTGGTGATTAGTCTATTAAGTCATTCTCGGATGCAGGGAATACAACAACATCCACACAACGTCAATAAACCGGCGAAAATGGCTACAGAGATCAGCGCAGAGGACACAATGGACTTGTATTTTCCAAATACGTCCATCCAGTCATCCCACATGACGTTAACGTGAAATTATCACGTTATAATGTGAAAATACCACATCACGAAATAACGTGATAATTTCATATCATGTAATAACGTGATAATTTCGTATCACGTTATAACGTGATAATTTCACGTTATAACGTGAAAATACCACATCACGAAATAACGTGAAAATTTCATATCATGAAATAACGTGATAATTTCACGTTATAACGTGAAAAATATCACGTTATAACGTGAAACTTTTCACGTAATTACGTGATACTGAGCCGAAATATTTTTTGGGGAGCGATAGCAATACACCACCGTAAATACAAGTATGTAGTTCTAAATTTTTAATTCATTCTTATTTTCCATACAGAGCCTTTTACTGTGTGCCCAGACCTTCCCTGTAAACAAGGCAAGTACAAGTGCCTGTACATATAAATAATAGTGGGAATAGCGAATAAGAATAGGGAATAAATTGTGTAAAATCTATATTTTTTTAAAAATATAAAACTCTATAAGCAAACAGAAGTTGTTTAATATAAGCAGTAGTTTAAGTAGAGCTGCAACTAACAACTTTATCAATTATGAATTATGAAACAAATTTCAAAATAAATCTGATCCAAATGTAGTCAGTGTGAAACTGCTTGAAGTAAAAACATGACATTTGCTGAGCACTGTTTAGTCTGTTTCTGAGTCTATTATTTGATGACTCAATTCATTGACAATTAGTTTAAGAGTGAATTGGAGGTTATTAATCTCAAATGGTTGTTTTAGTCCTAATTACAGGTGTCAAAGACGTGTCCATGTTAATGTGTTGTTTTGGTTTCAGAGCCTGATGTGGCCCCATGTGTGAACCGCCCTGTAGATCTGGTGTTTCTGGTGGATGGGTCTGAAAGGCTGGGGGATGAAAACTTCCTTCGTTTGGGTGAACTGGTGCGGAGAGTCGCAGACAGTGTGGGTCTGGCACGGAGTAAAACAGACCGTACGAGGGCGCGTGTGGCTCTGGTGCAGTTTGGCAGAGAGAGCGAGCACACCATCGCTTTTCCTCTCACTCATGACCCTGCCGTGATCTCTGAGGGCCTGGAACGTCTACGATATCTGGACTCTTCCTCTGATATAGGCTCAGCCATCTCCTATACCATAGACAATATACTCCAACAGGGAGAGGTAAGGCGCTATGCAGAAATCTCTTTTGTTTTCATCACGGATGGAGTTACAGCCAGTGAAAGTTTGGAGGAGGCCGTCAGTGCCATGCGCAGGGCACATGTGGTCTCCACGGTAATTGCAACAGGAAGTGATGTCGACCAGGCGGTCTTGCGTAAGCTGGTCATGGGAGACCAAGATGCCATCTTTCAAGGAAAAGATTTTTCAAGTCTCCTGCAGTCCTCATTGTTTAACAAATTCATTACATGGGTTTGTTAGAGAAAAAGTCAACTGCAAATAATTGGTGCTGTTGCTAATATGTTATCATTATGCTATGTTATGCACTGTATGATTTGCACTTGAGATGCATACATGAACAGGAAAAAAAAAATCACAGGAAAGTCTAATCATTTGTCAACCATAAACCGTGTTTAATCAGAATATAAAAACCTGTTACAGCTGTGCCTTGACATTTATCACCTTTTATACATTTGTTAAAACTACACTACTCAGTACAGAGCAGCTCTGTTTAGATTATGGCCATAGTTAAACACAGTGCTTTACAGGGCACTACAGCTGCTCTCCTCCACAGAATCTCACTCTAGCCTCTGAGTGGGAGCCAGAACAATGGACGACTGAAGGAGTTGCTCTGGTGAGGTTCAGATTCTTCATGGGTTTCCTGCATTCACTCCTCTCTCTCCTTTTGGATCACATCATGTCCAGCTGTGCAGGAAGAGAGGGACAGACATAGGTTTTATGTCTCATGTCTCCTGACACTTTATGTACACAGAGGTAAGCAGGCAGAGGTGTCTCTAAACGATTTGTGTTTGCAGAAAATGTCCCAAACCCAAGCAATGAGCGCCAACACATACAAAACACATCTGAGGCTAAAGATTTTTACTAACTCTTATTCTTACATTTCCCTGACTAGTGTGTTCCAATTGTTTACTAATCTCATTTGTCTCATGCTAAAAAAAAAATAGTTTAGGAACCAAAGAAAACACACCAAATCATCCACGTCTCCGGTATCTTCAACAGTTGGAGCAGCCTTTTTCTCTTCTTTCTCTTCTGAAACCAGGAACTGTAAACATGAATATCATGATTGAATATTGCTTTGAGACTGAATAAAGAATTATTTGGATTTTACCGTTTTGTGTTTTACATTTACCTGGTTAGCTTCAAGCTTTGATATTGTACTTCCGTCAACTTCATCTTTGCTGATCAGAGTGATACTGTCTGTTAAAACAAGCAATGAGACAAACATTTTCACTTTTGAAAATAATAATATAAAAATAAAACAATCTAAGACATGAAATATTGGTTTTTCATACCTTGAACCAGCAGGTCCCAAAATTCTTCCAGTCCTCTGTTTGGGATGCTCCTTTTCAAGGACTGAAGGTAACTATTATACAAATCTGCATTCCCCAGCTGGAAAAGGAAAGATTAACACCTCTTAAAACCTAAGAGCCCCTCATCTCTACATTCATTGTAATGATCTTTGTAAGTTGATTCATTATTTCACAAGCAACGCTAAAACTATGCAGTGTAATATTTCAAAAATATTCCAGACTCCCACACCATGCACCATAATTCAGATAACCAGCAGAATGAATGCTGAATGTTTACTCACCTTAACAGACTGCTCTCTGAAAGCTTGGATACAGGTGATGCTTTTCATGTAGTAGTGTGCGTTCTTGTTGCTAAGCAACTGCTCTATCCTGTGAGTCAGCTGCTGACAGACTGGGAAGGACACAAGGGTCACCACAACCAAACAAAAACGGATAAGCACAATTACTAAGGCTTAACACCAGTGATGGCCGTGGACATAACAAGAGGAAGGTTTATGGAGCCATAAACATAAGTGCAATCTGCAGCTCACCATCACCAAATGGAAGTGTCTTCTGTCGGATGAGTGTACAGAAGTCTCGTGCCGGATCCACACTTCCCACCTACAGTGCACCAATTAAAATTAACAAGTAGAAAGCACACTTATAAACATGCACTGTAAATGGCAAAGCACTTTTTCAGACAATAGTACTTCATTTGGAGTAACACTCTCCTCAGGTGAATGCTGTATCAAACAGCTGCCCTGCTACTCACCGAGGTAACAGAGCCTTCAGCAATGTCAGCCAGGTTATATTCCTCATCCTCTTCATCTTTTTTGGCCTTTTTGGCATCAGTCTCCTCAGATCTGCACAAGTTTATATGACCCATTAAATTCATTAATAACCCCATATCCATGGCATTATTGTAGTTGGGGGCATTTAATAAGACTAACAGTTTGCAACATTTTGTTTTCTAAATGCTCATCATTTTAAAGCATGACACCCTGCACTAAGAACTGACTAAGACTTACTCTTTGCCAAAGATCTGTGCGCTCGTCTTTTTTGTTTTCTTCTTTTCCACTTCCGTCAAAGGAAACTTCTTCTTGAGCTCATTCAGTGGAGCCTGGCAGCGCTGGTTTACCACCTCCGGCCGCTCCAAAGACGCCTTTAGCCACGGCTCCATGGGGGGCAGAGGTGTCCCAGGGTCAACAGCTCGATGATGCAGACACTTCAAATAAGAAGTATAAGGTTTTGAATGAAGTTTGACAGACAAAGCTTTTATGTACATATCTTTTTTAATGAGAGATGAGCTTGGTTGAAGAGCAGCAATAAAAAGATTCATCAAAGATTAATAATAATGTTTAGCAAAGCATAGTATTCTTAGTATCAAACATTTGTCGCACTCATGTTAAAAAAACTGATGACTGAGGGCAGAAGAAAAATCAGAATTTGATAGTGACTTACTAAATGTAATTTACAGTCAAGTGAACACCAGCTCAAACACAATCATTCAGATAAAATATGCTAAATGTAGTGCTAGTTAAATACATTTATCAGACTAGTGTCAGGATATGTAATAAAAGTCACATAAAAGTTTCCACTGTTTAATGTTGACTAATGTGGGGGGATGTGATGACTCAATTCTTACTTCTATAGTTTCTGATTAATGTTATGTTATCATGCTAACCCATGGATAACTAAGAGATATAAAGAGAAGAATCAAAGTAATGTCATTATTGTTTTAGCAATGGTATAATAAAACATGCATGTGTGAACTGCAGTACCTGGAAGTGCCTCTGGAAGGCAGGATTTGGAATGCGGTGGACCTTGAGCATGTCTTTATGTTCTCCATTTTCATCCTCCTCAACAAGCATCATGGAGTCAATGAGAGAATCCACAGCAGACAGCTGAGTTTCTGTAGTAATTATGTCAGACAGAGGATAACAGTGAACAATTAAACATGCATGCACAACTTATGGAACATACCTGTAATATACAGTACTTAAAATAAACTAAATATGTGTACCTGAAGGGGTGAACTTTTTGTTTTTAAGAGAAGGGAATGAAAACTGTCTGAGGTCCTCGGTAAAAGGCAGCTGGACGTAAAGAAGGCACTAGAGAGGACAAATGTTAACTGTCTACTTGAAGTTTATGGGACATATAAATAAGAGTAAATTAGCCTATCATCTTACCTCATAGTCCTGTTTGATACACGGGAAAGCAGCTCCAACTTGTGGATTGCTGCTTTTGTTATAGGCATACCTCACAATGGCAGCCATATTAAGCTGGTCCAGAGCTCGAATAAGTGCTGACAGTGCAATTCCTGCATGCTACGCAGAGAGAAATAAATTATTATAATATATATATATATATTTTTTAATTGCATGAGCAAAGCAGATGCCAAAATTAAATGTACCAATATTCTTATACCTCATCATCTTTGGCAGCAAATATCTTGAGAACCTGATTTCCCATAAACTGATGACGCTGGATCTAAAATAAAAATAAAAAGAGAAAGAGCTCATCGTTTTAACTTTCATTGCATTTCATTGAGTTAATAATCATAAAAACAATTATTCCTATGCAAGTTAGTATTTACAATGGTGTGGTTACACTGTGATGGTAGATAAAACAGTTTAATACCAGGCTTTGTTTGGTAAAGCCAAGAACAGCAAAGCATTTCCCATCATGGCTATATTTCATTTGGTCTTGGTCCACTTTGGAGAAGGGAACGATGTCACTGCCATAACGGAAACCTGTAAACAAGTTAACAAACAGATTAATACAGTATTTATCTGTAGAATAATATAATTAATCTTTATTATAAAGATTAGGATAAATTACCTTGGAGAGTATCCTCTGCTTGTACCTCTGTTTCATTGTCATCATCTAAACAGTAGACAGTCTCTTTTTTCACATCATCTTTCCGGTTTGATTGGGCATCCACATTAAACCACATTTTCTTCAGTTTCTCTTCTGTCACCTGAGAAATTTGGGAAAAACACTTTATATATTAAATTTTGTATCATTAAATTACAAATGTAATGTACAAATAATTTACCAAAATGTGCATATTAATATCAAAATTTCATTAAATGTATGCAGGACTTACTGCTTTATACCCGACAATTCGGATGGATAGTGTACTGCCTATGGTTAGTTGACAGGGCCAAGCCATGGGTCTTCTCTCAATGCGCTTGAACATATAAAGCTGCTCTAGTGCATTCCTGTCAATGCACAGAGATGAAAAAAACATTCAAATGGAAAAAAAAATGTTAGAATGACCCATCTGAAAGTGGTGCATTCAGACCTGAAGCTGTAGACTTCATCCAGACCGTCTGCCTCATCCAGACTCAGCATGATGTGTTTGACCATGTCCAGACCCTGCTGCTGTTCTGGGGACAGGCCTTTCCCCGGCCTTGGGGGTCCTGGAGCCCCTCCATCCCCGCCACCACTTCCCTCGTCCTCTTCATCAGCAGGGAATGGCAAACTAGGACGGAAATGGATGTGAAGTGCAAACTGTAAAAGTATTAATTCAAAATATGCTTTTATTGTTTTTGCATGTATTAGCATGTCTACAGTGTTCTTACAAGAACTGAAGGGTAATTCCAGTCTTTTTAAGGTTTTCAATGATAATGTCCAGGTTATCAGAGCTGGCTTCAGTGCTGAGGTCAGTCAAAAGGGCAATGATGAGTCGCTCATACTTCTTCCCCCTAAAAATGAGCACAATATATAACAATATGTGTACAATACTATTTGTATGAGCAAGATGTTAATTATGAATTTCTTACTGTGTTTCTTTTTGAAGAAGATCCATACAGACAACAAGTGCATCCAGCCCTGTATAAAAACAGATAAGGAACCTACAGATTTTCATTTTGTCAATTAACATGGCTCTTTGTCAGACCAGAATATAAAAAGGTCATAGTTCTGTTGACAGAGAAAATGAATTGCCTCTCTTTTCAAGGTAAACAATATAAACTTAATTAATATGCTGGAGGCAAATGCAAAACATTGTATCTGATGTACTTTGTTAATCTGTTAAAGGATACAATCTGCCTGATGGTTCTCTGGTTGGATTTGATTTGCAATTTCTTCCAGAAGGTCAAAGTCTGGAATCATGAGGTGGCGATGTACAGAGATGTGTTGGTACTGATCATCCTGCTGCAGAGGATTTTTAGTGCGATCTGTCCCAAACAGAACTAATGCCAGCTCGTCCTTGGTCTCTGCAAACACCTGCAATGGCAGCAAACCGTGACACCAGCGTCAGAAGTGTATCTGGTTTAACAACATAATGAATCTGGAGGAGACTTGCCTGACGTTGGACAAACTTCTGCATAACCTTTTTGGCAAGTTCAAACGGAGGCTCTTCACCAGGAGCAGAGTTGGACATGGAGAAGCCCACATCCATACATAACACGAACGCACACTGCAATAAAATATTCCCATGGTGAGCGTAACAAAGCCAACATAGAGTGGTTAAGCATACAAGAAATTGGACCAGTTAATCAGCTAAAGGGAAATCAAATGAACACCCTGTCCTGAGTTTCACAACAATACTTTGTCTCACATACACTGAGGCTTCATAATGCAATTTATCAGCCTGGTCGTTTACATGTGTGCAAATGTGGTAAGGGATTTCGAAAAGGCTCAATATACCATCACCATTTGGGTACAGAAAATGCAAATGCAAAGCAAAGTTAAACTGAATTATGTTTTGGTAGTACAGGACACAAACACTGAATGAGGTTGAGGATGAAAGTGACACAGCACACAGTGTTGTTTGTTTATTATAATTCATTAATAATTTGAAACTAGTAGACGTGGGTTTCTAAATGAGAGTAGACCGCTATTCAGAACGCTGTCTTCTTTTAATACGCATTAAAGCTCTTTAGCAGTTCAATATATGACTGAATAAGGCTTGAGCTCTTGCTGCTCTTGCCTGACATGTTTCAACATGTCTCAGCCTAAGCACCGCAGAGATAACTATAATATAATGCCATATATTATTTCTCAATGAACAAACGTTATATCAATGGGGAGTATAGCTAGTTACATGTTTATAACCACAGGGCATTAGCTGAATTAAAAAGAAAATCATGACTTACTTTCGATGCCATTGTTTTCTTTATTTCCCTCCACTAAACTATTTGGTGTCGCTGTGTTATGAATCCGGAGAGAAACACTGGCAGCCACGTATTAAGGTTCCGCTGTGAAATGCATAAGTAGGGCAAACCGCTGTCGCCCTCCAGTGGCCACTTCTCACTTTTTATGTAATGCGCTAGAATCATGCCATTTTTATACTGACAAAAAATAAAAACAAACTTTAAAAAAATAATGTTGACAAATTGTTGCAATAAATAGCCATTTTATTAGTGTATTTAGTGATTTAACCTGTAACATGAGATATGAAACATAACTTATACCAAATAATAATAAATAAGGTGAAATCCATTTATCTGTATTTAAATGAAGTGAAAAGTGCATGTATTCAATATAAAATAAATTAAAAACACAGGTATGGACTAAAATCATTATTATCGTTGAGATTTGCACAACAATCATATTAAATAATGGTCTTCTTTTTAATGTAATGATACAAAATTGTTTTCAGTGACATTGCAAAGTATAGTTCAAATATTTACAGGGAAAGTGAGTTTTTAACATGCTTTAGTTGAATGGAGAGAAAGATGTCAGATGTACAACACTTGTAAAATTAGGCACCAAGGTTATGCTTCAAGGTTGCTGATGTTTTTTTCGTTTTTTGTTTTCTTTTGTTTTTTCAGTTCACTTTGACAGAAATGTGAAAAGTTAGTTTAGATTACCTGATGGGGGAAATGCAGGAAGGTAGTATAGGTTAGTTCAACTACTCCATAAGAATCAGGTATAGATACATAGTTTACAATATTTATAGAAAGCAGACAGTGTATTAAATCGATAAAAACTAGTTTGTAGGAAGTTTGAAGTAAGTGACATGATTGAGATTCAGTAATTTTTGTAGGATTTCAACTGTAACGTTATCTTGTCATAGTTTTAAAATTGACTTTCAGGTGAAATCATCAAAAAGATTAATAATATAAATTAGTCTTGTAACACTATTTACTTTTCCACTGAACCCAACCTGAGCTTATTTTACACTGATGAGGTCTGGGCAAATTCGCTTGGGGCTTTGCTTTGCAGCGTGCCTGAGACAGTGTCTGAATCCAGCAGCTCCACAATACTGTACGGGGAGCAGTCCTCTAGTCCAAGCTTCCCACACGCCCAACCACAGAAACCCTTCTCCAGGTCCCGTACATCCTGCCACCACTCGCTGAACGCCCACGAAACCTGCACCACGGCCGAGTACAGCGCCAGGGACAGTGCCAGGGGCATGATCAGCATAGGGTAGAAAATTATGAGAAAGGGGCATATGGTGATCTTATGCCAAAACGTCCGCTCTTCATTATACACCAGAAAGACATTGTACCAGGTGAGAGTGCCATAGTAGAAAGAGGTTATGAAGGACAGCACGAAAATAACAGGGAAGCAGGAAATACTCCAAAGAACCACATGGGGTCCAGAACACAGTCCCAAACTGCAGTTGCGTTTTAGACCATCTCCAGCCTCGCACTCGGCATCCAGGCTCTTTAGACTTGGCCAGGTCACGGAGCTCCTTTTCAGTCAGTGTTAAATGAATATCTACCACCTGACCCTTCTTCTTGCCCCGAGTGATGGTGCCGGTCAGGGTCACGTAGCGGCTGTCGGGAGGAAGAGACCAACTGTCCCCTGTAACACCAGAATGTAAAAGTTAAAAGTGTTGAAATGTGTTTAGTGGCTAACGGGCTGCATATGGCTGCTTTAAGTGGATGCTCAGCTACATGACTGAGGGCTGGAGTGGATTATAAAGTAGAACCACCATAACAACAGCTGGTTCATTTACATCCTCACTATAGTAGATAATTACAGTAGCTGGGCCTGAGTGATTAAAAAAAAAAATGTAATCATCATTTAAAGTCGAGCACAATTTTAAAACAAATTCAAATTGCTTTTGATATTATTTTCCTTCAAATAAACAATACAGATTTTTCATTAGTACCTGAATTCAGAATTCTGCTTCAAACCACACAGTTTTACATGGAGGCAGCAGATCGATTAGTTTAGAAATAACTGGAGCTCAACATTAGAGTAAATGCATTGTAAGGAAAATTATGCTCAAATAAATTCAGAAATAAATATATTTCAATCGCACAGCTTTAATTGTAGCCAACAAAGTCCAAAAAGGAACAGAAGATACAGTATTTTAAAATGTAGTTCTACAAGCAGCAACATTACATGTTAATTCAAGAGAGATAAGCCTTGCTTTTACACCATGTGATATCATGAAGTAGGAATATTTTTGGTGCTCAAAATGCCCTTACACAGGTTGCAACTTTGAAAACACCCATTACTGTTTTTTGCCCACACATCTCGTACAGGCCCTTACCTTCATTAGTTGGGGTACACAGGAACTTGGCCCCCTCCTCAGAGCTTCTCTCAGGGGCCTCTTCGCCAGTCTGGTCCTCCTCTGATGCCCTCTCGATCTCTGAACGGTACACGATGATGGACTCGGGTCTTGGCTCTCTCTTTTTCCTCCTCTTCCTCCTCACTGAAGGGCCAGTTTCTGCATTGTCAGTTTGGCTGCCTGACATGTCCGACCTCAGGGAGATCAGCTGGGGGCTGCCCTCCCCCTCTGTGCGGGATGCTTCCACTTGAGCCATGTTCAGACCTGCTCAGATGAAATCTCTACAACCCCAGGTTTGTTATAAAAGGCTCAGCTCTAAAGTGAGTCGTGTGATGTTGCCATGTCTCTTGCAGCCCTGTGCTCTAAAATATGCATGGGAAATGGCTACAGGGAGGGGGGGAAAGAGAGAGGGGAAATACCATCAGTAAAAAATAAAATCAACAGCAGATTAATCCTACATGCATGGCCTAGATTCAGTTTGTTTTTACTGATGCAAATGTCATGTGTCATAGACCTATATAACGCGTTCTTACATTGTAGTTAGCCTAAAGCTAGGAGTGAATGGATTAAACATAAACATGCACAATGTGCCGTTTGTTTCAAAGACAGGATGTGCTCTGCTGATGGATCTGCATGACAGCACTAATTGGTGCTCCATATTTTCCTTCTGCAAAGTGAAAAGACCAGGAGTGGTTTTATTGTATAGACTATAATACTGCCAAAAACAACATGCGACAATGTCTCAAAAAAGACATAAGCTAGCCTAATGGAGGAAGAGAGAGAATGGACAAAGCAGCCCGTCTCACAGCTGATCTCCTCCCATAGAAATCCCACCCATGTCCGCTCTTTTGTCTGCAGTCAGCGAAAGGGGCTGAAACACGGCGATACTTGGTCTGAAAACAGTCTTACCTTTTGCAAAATAAGATGTCAGAAAGCGTCGGCATGGATTTCTAATTCAATAGAAGATTTGATGTGTCTCGCACACTGATCTGACGGCACCATCACAGTGCTGTTGTGGTCGCTACGTACGCACAGATGCGCAGCTGCGCAGATTGTTTTATGAATAGGCCAATGGCCGCCCAATAATCCATATGTTTTACGCACAACAGCGCCAAACCAAACTGCAGCACAGTGTACAGTCTATGGTAAGACACATAATATGTTTCTATTAATATTCATTTAATATTTCTTTGTATTTATATGCATACGCTGTCTGTTTGTTTTACATTTTAATATGTTCATTTATTTAAATGTTTGCACTAATATAAAACACGGGGTAAATTAACAGCTCCACATTGTAGTTTACAGTAACGGTCCGACTGCACGTAACCGCTAACAGCTTCAGAGCTAGCTCTGTTTGAGAAACATGTCTGACGAAGACTTACTTACAAATATTAACCACCTACTTTTTCAGTGTGGTAAGTAAATTAATTTCCTAATGACCTTAATAAACATAACTTGGTTCCAATTTTTCAGTTTTTTTAAAAATGCATTTTTAGCCCTTCAAACAAGAGACCTTTCTCAAAAGAAAAATGAAATCAGTCAACAGATTAAAGGTATTACACTTGATACCATTAATCCTTCAGGATGAATATGTGTTTAAACTACATAATCTTGTGCATATGAGCAGTTTACAAAGATGATATCGCTGAGGGAAAGTCTAAAATCGAAACAACTAAGGCAAATATCAAGACCTTAGAGGAAGATATCAAGGTAAAACAGAACACTCTGACACAGAACAAAGAAGTCCTCAAAAGGTAAAGTGTGACTTATATCATCAAACCACTCAAATCTACAGTAGAATGGGATTATATTGTATTGTAATTAATTCACTATGTCCTTTTCAACAGTATGAAAGCTGCCAACAGCCTGGTCATGCATTATGAGCAGACTCTGAAGGCTGAGCTGGAGAGCAGGAAAGCCAGCTACAACCGAGACAGGTGGGCCTTACCATGGACTGAATAAATATTTATACATATACAGTCTATGGGCTGTACCTTTGATATAGCATCACTGACACATATTTGAACTGGTTTTATTTAAAAAGGGAAGAGTATGAAAAGAGGATTGCAAGCTACAGATCTTCCTTCCAGTCATATAAAGAATATTATTACAGCAGTCCTCTTGCCCAAAAGCTCCTGGGATTACAGGATGAAAACCGAGAGACTGAGGCAAAGATTAAAAACTATGATGATTTAATAACATTAAAGCAAGAGGAACTGAACAACCTCAGACGTCCAGCTCCAGTGATCGAAACTACTTCCCCAGATGAACCACCAGTAAGGTACTTTTTCAGCCTTTTATTTAACAGTTATTTCAATGTCTTCCTCATAATTTAGATGGAGACAAACTTTATTGATCCACAAGGGAAATTATTTGGACACAGTAGCTCACACATCATAATATATTATAATAACAAAGAGCAAAAAGTCAAATGGCAAAAATAAGCAGCAAAAATAACAAGAGACTGGCATCATAATATAAATGTAATAATTTGTAATAATGTGATTCCAGTGAGCAACTTGAAAATGAGCCAGAAAAACATCCAGTAGAGGACAGTAGCCCCTCTTTACACAAGACAAAGGTATTGAAAAGTTAAACAGGGCTCAACAGGTGTCAAAAATGCCAACAAATTTAAAGTAAGGACATATTATTCCAGGAAGATCCTATTTTGTCTGAAGAAGATGTTGAAGAAGCACAGACAGAACTCACAGAAGAGACTGAGGTCAGAGACTCTCAGCAGATGGAAGGCAAGTGCAGGATTTATCTACCCAGCTGTATTGACTGTTGCCCTAATGCTGGCTTTGTCTTTAATTAGAACAACATCAAGAAGAGACAGACACTGGAGAGAAGGACCAGGAAGAGACAGGGCAACAGGATGCATTGCTGGTACTTTTTGTCATATTAAACTTTTCATTTATTAGAACCATAGACTCTATAAAGAAGTGGCCCATTCGTCTCCAGTCAAATGAAGCTCATGATAATAGCAGCATAGGAGTGAATTTGGAGCCTGTTCCATATTAGGAATAGGAATTTATTTACGGACAACATAGCAAAATAAAAATACCAGAATCATGTGGGAAAGGCAAGGCAAGCTTATTGTATAGCACAATTTGTACACAAAGAAATTCAGAGTGCTTTACAGAATAAGAAATACATTAAAATCACAATACAAGCAAATCAAAACATAAATAATCATCATAAAATTAAAGAGAGAGAGAAACATTAAATGAGAGAGGAGAGTGTGGAATGAGAAATTAAAACCTTTCAATCGTATGTAGCTAAACAGAACTGTTTTGAACCTGGATTAAACAGTGTCAAAGTAGAGGCCTCTCTCACCTCCGAGTGCGAGATGGTTCATATGGCACTAAATGTCACAGATGTACTTTGGTGTTAGGCCATGGAGAGACTTGTGCACAAGCAGAGCCGCTTTAAAGTCTATTCTCTGAGCCACAGGAGCCAGTGTAGAGACCTGAGCACAGGACTTATGTGCTCATACTTCCTGGTTCGAGTCAGGACCCGAGCTGCAGCGTTCTGGATGTACTGGAGCGTTTCACAGCTCATTTAGAGAGGCCAGAGGGCAGGTCGTTACAGTAGTCTAACCTACTGGAGAGAAATGCATGGATAAGTCTCTCCAAGTCTGTTTTAGACAGTAAACCTTTGAATTCTGCTATGTTTTTAGATGGTAAAAAGCTGCCGATATTATTGATTTGATGTGGCTGTTAAAGTTCAAGTCCGAGTCCATTATTACCTCGAGATTTCTAGCCTGATTTGAGGGTTTAAGAGAGAGAGACTGGAGATGACTGCTGATACTGTCTCTTTGTTTCTGTGGGCTAAAAACTACGATTTCTGTCTTGTCTGAGTTTAGCTGGAGAAAGTTGTTTTGTATCCACACGCTCATCTCTTGGATGCAGTGGCAGAGTGAGTCCACTGGTCCATACTCTCCTGCTGCCAGTGAGACGTAGAATTGAGTGTCGTCTGCAGAGTTGTAGTAGGACACATTATTGCTGCATACTAACTAGCCTAATGGTAGCATGTAGAGATTGAACAAAAGGGGGCACAGGATTGACCCCTGGGGCATGTGATCTGAGACACAGTTTCCAATTTCAACAAAATACTTCTGTCTTCTAGATAGAACTTGAACCAGTTTAGTGCAATACCAGAAATCCCCACCCAGTCCTCTAGTCTCTGTAACAGGATCCCATGATTGACAGTGTCAAAAGCAGCACTCAGATCTAACAGGATCTAGCAGTCTCAGTGCTGTAGTGGGCTCTAAAACCTGACTGGAAATAATCAAAGGAGTTGTTCATCTTTTTCAAGGACTTTGCCAAAAAAATGTCAGTTTTGAGATAGGTCAGAAATTGTTCAGTACTGTGGCATCAAGACTGCTCTTCTTTAGGAGAGGCTTAATGACTGCAGTGTTCAACGCTCTTGGGAATGTTCCTAATTGAAGTGACTTGTTAACTATGTGAGCGAGTGGTAAAAATGTTGAGGACGGACTTCCAGTGGGTAACACGTCAAGGCAACATGTGGAGGAACTCAGACTGGTGGCAATCTCTAAGACAGTTTTGGCAGTTACAGGTGCAAAGTGCCTCAGCTCTAAGTGTCTCTGTGGCTGCATGCTTGTTATTTACTTGGTGGAACTGATGGCATTTTTGATGACCTGAACCTTGTCATTAAAGAATACTGCAAACTCAATGCATTTAGATGTGGAAATTAGTTGTAATGGCAGTGGAGCTGGAGGGTTTGTCAATCTGTTCACTGTTGCAAACAGGACACGAGTGTTGTTACTGCAGTTTCCAATAATGTCTGAAAAGTACCTCTCTCTTGAGCTACACAGACTGTGGTTTGTGTGCATTTTTCCTCTGTAAAATAATGAACCTGGAAGTTTGACTTGTACCATTTCCGTTCGGCCCTCCAGCACTCCCACACTGTAGCACGGGTTAATACAAACATTTTAAGATGAAAATGACAAGGCTCTGCAGTAATTACAGAGAGAGGGGTGACAATTTATCAATGTAAAGGCAATTGGATATAGAGTCAGTGGAGGCAGAAACATTTCCTATTTGCAACACAGCGGTTAGTGGGTCAGCTATGTCCATTTATACAGTCTATGGTTAGAACACTTGTTATTTGGTACCTCATAAAGTTTTTTTTTTTTTTTCTCGTGTCTGTTCACTTTCAAAACCCTCATTTCATGTCAACATTTAGTTTGCTATGCATTTTCCTAGTGACCAATCTCCTAACTTTTTCATTTTCACTCCTATACTGCATAGGAACAACAATTCACTGTGTTGGAAATTGAGCAGGTGATGGAGGTAGAGATGGATGAGGGTCCAGGAGAAAACCAAACTGCAAACCACAAAGCAGATGAAGCTCTCACCTCTTTGAGTCAAACCTCGTCACAAGGAACAGTCAAGCACGACTCCCCAGCAAGAAATAAACCTGGCCTTGCAACTCCAACATTCCCATTTACGTAAGGTTTCAAAATCATTTTGGCAAAAGCACATTTCATTTAAAGGTGCACTATTGTAACTTTTTGGTTGTGGGGTCCATCACCTGCTTGTTTACCCGGAATGTTCCACAGTATGACATTAAACAGCTCTGCCTTACATTTATTAAATTACAAGCAGTTTTAAAGCTCAAAAATACCTAGAAAAAATGAGCAGGGTTGCCTACAGACCTGACCTGCAACTGGTTTGACCTCTATGAAGATATACAGGTTTAATGCCATTCTGCAAATCATTCCACACAAAGTAATAACATCTCCTTGGGGAAAAGCTTTTGGTGGACCGTCCACCAGAAAAGTTACACAATGCCACTTTAAACAGAAGTTTTCCATGTTTCTTGTATTTGAAAGTTTTAGCCCTGGCAGATGTCAGCAGATCTCTGACTCAAGCAAATCTCCTGCTTTCCCCTTTAATCTACACTCTGAGCCGAGCACCCCAGACTTTTTTGGCTTTGGAGCACAGGACGAGGTGAGCCAAAAGGAGAAGCATTACAGTATTTTGTGTTCATTTTTAAATACTTTAAACAGCCCATATTAAACAATTTTCTGATTTATGTTATAATAATAATAATAATAATAATAATAATAATAATAATAATAATAATAATAATGCATCAGTTTAATTTAGCTCTTTTCTGGACATTCAAAGATGCTTATAGTTAATGAGATTATAAATAATGATAGAAAATGTGCTAAATAATGTTGTTTTCTCGTCACAAACATACCTGGAGTTGTGTTTTGTTTCATTCGCACATGTTTAACACACAAAGTTTCATGACATCACAAGGTGGAACAAAGCGTTATAAGCTTTGGAGATGTAAACAGAGTAATAAATGCTTACTCAAACATGTGTGAAGGAAACAATAAAAAACAAAACACAATTACAGGTATGTTTTGATGAGGTAATATTATAACATGGCTAAAGCTCAGAGTCAGTTTTGCATAATATAGGACCTTTAAAGAATTATTTTTGCAGGACCCTACGTTACCTTTTACAAGCTCCTTTTTTGAAGAGAAGGTATGTCCTACCTTTAAGGTTTTACATTACACAATTACACAAATGTCACTGTCTTTTTTTCTCTTCACAGAAAACCACAGACTCTAAAACCTCCATGGGTAAAACACTGACCAAAACTATTTTATATTGAATTATTATGCCACTTCCAACACAAATCCTTGCATTGTTTTGTAGAGTTCCTGTTTAATCAGCCAGAGCCAAGTGAAGAGTTTCAGTTTTCCTTCAATACTAAGAGCCCTGAGAAAGAAAGCAGCAGCAAAGATAAAGCCCAGAGTGATTTTCCATTCTCATTCAACTTTTAATTGAGGAAAATGTTAAAGACAGCAGTTCCAGCAGTTACATCATTTTACTTGTTTGTTGAAATTGAAAAGGGTTCAGTGGTTCATTTCAGTTTATGTTGAAAAATACTTAAGTAGCTCACAAAACAGTTCATATGAAGACAATAAAAAAGACAATTAAAACGGTCAGTTACATTTGTTTAGAATACTGTTATAGCAAATACAGTACAATGGTGTGTTTGTTTATAGTTTGGTTTGTTTGTGTAAAGCTTGGTTATTGGACATTTTAAACTTGTTTGATTTTCTTTTATAGTAGTTGACAAATAAATGCATGCCAATATATAAAAAAAAACTTGTAGACTCACAATACTAAAGGTAATAACACCAGAATAACCCACATCAGAACTACATTAATTCCTCTGAAAATCTAAATTTCAGTAGTAAAGGCTCTTTTAAAAATTGTACATTAACAGTCTGTTTGGTAATATTTGCCCTTTATTTACATTCATTTTAGCTAACTGCTGTGACAGGAAGGATAGATAAGGGTAAAGGTGCTATTAGTATTTACACACAGTTTGTATGTAGTAGATGTTGCCTAATAACCAGCGTCAACACTGAGTGAGCGCTTTGTCAGGTGTTTAAGGGATCCAGGAACATACTCACTGAAGCTGGTTTGATATTTGGCCAACATTTTCAGCAATGGTCTCATATGAAACCACCACTGGTCCTTTGGCACTCGATGTCTGCAAAACAAATACAAAACTAATTAATTAATAAAACATTTGAGCAGTAACTTCTGGTGGAGTGTGTTTCAAATGCTTTTTTTTTTTTTAAACATACTATTAAGTTTTCAACATTCTAACACAACACACAAAACAAAGAGCAGTCTGAGCACGTGTTTGAGTTTTTCTCATTACATACATATTACCCAATTAAGCAAGACACACCAACCCGGTCAAACAGGCAAACCAACCGCCCGCCACAACACTGAGCCTGTACCTCTCTGTATAATGATACTGAGCTCACCGGGCAAGTAATCAAGCAGAGGCTTCCACAACTCCACAAAGAAATCATCATTACCTTTCAATTTTGCGCTGACTCTTTCCATGGGTAAGACTCTAAAAATGTCTTTATACCACTGGGTGACAGTTGGTGGCTTCTCTTGAATCCAGTTAAAAAGCACACACTTACGTGCCAGAAATAGTAATTTAGCCACTAATTTAATTTACTTTTGTCTGACACTTTAATGATGGCAGCCCCAGCAGAAACCAACCCAGATCCTTCAAATGCTTTTCTTTATGGAGATGTTATTGCTTTGTCTGGAATGTTTCACAGTATGGCATTAAACAGCTCTACCTTACTTTTATTCAATTACAGGTGGTTTTAAAGCTCAAAAATACCTAGAAAAACAGGTATTCTGACTGTGAGAGAGGTCATCTCTCCACAGAGCTGCCCTGTAACTTGATCTGGTTTGGTGTCCATGCAGATAGAAAGGTTTAATACCATACTGTGAAACATTCCAGACAAAGCAAAAACATTTGATGGACCCTCCACCAGAAAAGTCACACAATGCACCTTTAATTGATCATTTGCACCTTCTCTTAGGGTGTGAAACTGAAAGCACTGCTCTCTTAGAAGCTATGTTACTAAGATTATACATAATCTGATCTTTATTTTAACACAGTCTGACCAGAAAGAACTGACTATAACAGGAAAGATGATTTGTGTGTTTTAACAAGTCTCTCACAACGCCAGCTAGCATTAGCCAACAGTTTTCTCAGTTTGTCACTCTTGCCTTTTTGTTGAAACTCAAACACCTAAACAGGATGATGAACACTCATGATCTTATTTACCTGAAAATATGCTGTTTAAATCCCTTTTCTTGAGCTTTTTAGACCATCTTAAAACTTGTATGTAGACCACCCCCCCAGCATGATGTCATTGTAAAGTTAGGGTGACCAGATCTTCAAATTCAAAAAGTGGGACGCCCCCAGTTTGGTGTGGTGGGTAATAATACATTTGTGAAACGAATGCACAATTAAGGAAAATTGTTATGCACTCGGCCCGTTCATGACTTATTCACAACTAACGTGGGTTAGTACAGTCATATTTTCTTTGTGTTTTGGTCATTTTTAAGCAGATTTTCTGTATTTCACCTAAACAAAAGACAATTTATGCCTCTCTTTACTGTAGGCAGGTGTCAAATTGGTCAAAAATAGGGACACCTGGGACATTTCTTGAATAAAACTGTGACAAATTAATGGTTTTGGATAAATCCACTGGGGCAGGGGACACAGGGCTCAAAACTGCAACGGTAAATAGGGACATCTGGTCACCCTTATGCAAAGTTTCAATACACGATATAGGTTTTTAACAACTTACTGAAAATCTGTTATCTCCTTCAGTTCAGCAACAGGGATGAATGACACAACTTTTCTGTTCAGTCCAAGCACACATACACTGTTTGGTGCGTTGGCAAAAACACGCCCTAATTAAGGAAACAGGAAAAAACGGTCAATTCAGTCGATGTTCCATAAAATGTGGATAGATGCGAGCTACACTTACCTTGCCGGTAATTTTCAGCCATTTGCTGTGAAAGCCACTGCACAGCCTTTACTCCCAACTTGGTCCCAAAGTTTCGGTCAAAGGGAGAAGGTGCACCTCCCTAAATCAGAGATAATATAGTAAAAATAGAGTACGGTATGTATTTTTGTGTGTGTGTGTGTTTTTAAATTAATCCTATATTGCACAAAACTGACTCCAGTGAGCTCCAACCCCTTCCAAGTAGCTCGCCAAGGGATTTCTGAATTATACGTGTTGTGCTAATAACTACAATTTGATTAATTAAATGCCTGTTAGTATTGGAAATGTATCATTTTTATGCCTAACTTTGTGCACTAATAAATAGATAATGGTTTATAGACATTTAACGGTACCCCATTTAAGACTTGCCCTCTTTCTTACATCGACTCTTGCCACCGCTAAATCTGGTAGCTCTGTGGCATTTTTGTTTTGTAAAGGTAGCTCACTGGAGAAAAAAGGTTGGAGACCCCTGCTCTAGGTGAATGTTTATGGAGTTTAAAAACACAGTGGAGCACTTCCTGTATTACCAAATGACATCACAAAGAGCAACAGAGTGTTTTCAGTTTGAGAGAAAAACGAAATATGCAGAGTTTGTGTGTTAAATGTGTGAATGAAACAAAACACAACTTTTCATGTGGAATCATTATAGCATAGATCAGAAAATTCTGTATATAGGCCTTTTATTATTGTAACCCAGGTTCTAAAAACGTGCCTAACTGCGTCGAATAAAATATTTATTTATTATTTCTACCTGTACGTAAACCACGTAAAGTCACGTGCCACTACGCACACACGGCGTGCGATCATCCAATCAAATTTCTCGCAGCGCCCGATACAAGCCTCCTGTGCCTGCTCTGCCTCATTCAGGAGTTGGGGAGAGGAGCCGCAGGACTGCAGTACAGGTTAGCCTCACAAATTAAACTTTTACTCGTCTTTGATGTATCCGCTCTAAACTAAAATTGTAACTTACGTTTTAGAGGTCTCATATCACCGCAGAAGACGTGTTCTAGCCGCGCAACCATTTCACAGTGGGATTGGTTTGTCTGTCTTTACCGAGTTGTTAGCATTAGCAACTTATGCCGCTAGCATCTTGCACTTGTTTGTTTCACCTGCCGATTTTTCATTCAAATGTCATATGCAAATGTCGCCAATTGCAGGCCATTGTTCCACCCGATATTGCTTAACTGATGCATTTAAAAGTTATTTTTAAGACTATTTGATTTTCCATTCAAGTGCAATTTGTTAGTGTTTGTTGTGTTTATACTATCTATGAAACGCACTTTTATAGAGAAGATATTATTGAATGTGCACTCTGTAAATAATTGTGTATACACTGAGACTGAGATTTATTGATTAATTGATATATATATTTATTTATTTTATATATATTTATATATATATATATTTATTTTATATATATATATATATAATATATATAAAAATAAATATAGCTAATTGAATCATTCCATTACTTACGGTCCTGTCTGTTACCATACAGGCCAGGTGTGCCCCATTGGGTGCAAACCCCCCTTCGATGGCGAGCTAGAACAGCCCATGAACCTACGTGAACCATATCATCGTTACCATCACTACCATCATCCCTTCTGCGGTCTGGTAGGAGGCTATACAGCCAGTCGCTCCCCACCCTGTTTCTATTCACTACTCGCTCCTCCTACTGTTTTTGTGCTTAAGGACAATTCAAACCCTCGGTCAAAAATTCTGGACTCTCATACTCACTACTACCTTGTGGAAAGCGAGTTGGTGACGGTACTGCTATTGCAGTGTCGGAAAAAAACAAAAATCACTGGACTGTACTGTTAAACTCTTTTATATGGTTACACATTCATTTTAAGGAAATCTGTAAATGTACTGCAACATTACTGGTATCAAGCTTGATTATTAATCTGCAGAATTGTAAATATTGTTTTTTTTTGTTGTTAATACATGGCACCAGCCACTAAATCATAATTTCTGACTCAGTATTATTCTGTCACGCACCTCCCAGAGCCGATACCTTCTTCTTCTGATCTAGCCTACAATAATCTTTATTTCTTTTGGCAAGCATCATCATATATGCTACAATATCAAGAATTGTTTTAGAGTCAGACCTGTTGCAGATGTCCGAGCACATTCACTCTGCAGTCAAAGATGCCTTTTCCCTCCGCAGAGTAGAGTTTATGGATGAAGTCCGTAGTGTAGTGCTCATGGCAGTATTCATTCCTGTTGACCAAAACCAAAACATATCAAACACTGGAACTGCCTCTCACTGACTCTGTTCCCACTTTTGGTAAATGTAAAAAGCTTTGATATGATAATTACCGTAGCACTAATCCTCGCTGAATGTCCTTCTTCATCTTCTCGGCCAAATGCTCAACGTTGGTCTGAAAAATAAAAACATCTGAAATCAACTTTATTTTCAGAAGTATGCTGTCTTGACTTCA